GCAGAGAAATTTTCTTATCAAAGATGCATTTTGCGCACATGTGGACATTTACACACATGTGGACATTCCATTTCTTTTTCAAAATCTCAATTGTTTTTATTTTTAGACTCGTTTTCTTTTAAATATTTCATTTGCTTCTTCTTTATATATCTTTGTTTACCGTAACAGGAAAAGCATAAATATTGCCCAGGTTCTGAATGACGGATCCAAATATGAGTTTCTGTAGCATGGCAAATTGCACAGTGTCGATCTTCCTTAAATTCAATAGAAAAAATTTTTTAACAATTATGAACCATTTTAGTTTTAATCCAAAATATTTTTGGTCTATTTTCTCCGTTATTTCTACGTATATAATGGTTACAATCTTTGCATAAATTGTATTTCTCAAGGTATATATACCAGTTGTACGCCTGTGTAGTGTTACAATTGAAACAATGTCGTTTATTTTTCTCATTGAGTTGATCTATAATATTTAGGAATATCATAAGACGCGCGGTATTGTTAACGGAAGAAACAAATTTTTAGCACAAGTAGATATATCGTCATAGAATCTGTTCAAGTAGGGGTGTAGGGCAGAGGTGAGGCGGAACAGTTATAGGTGTCAGAAATCGGAAGAGCCGGAAATCGGAACTGGCTCAAAAGTCGGAACTCGGAAATCGGAAATCAAAATTTTTTTCGGAAATCGGAAGGAAAAAACGCCGCAAATCGGAATTCCGACACACTGGTGTGGGGGAACAGCGCTAGTACATAAATGTTCCCGAAGTATCAATTTAGATGGACACACACAAATTTACCATATGCAAGAAAGGAATTTCCTTGGCCAAAAAATTAAAAATTTTTATTACTTATTTCATTGCCGATGTAAATAATTCTACTTTTTAATTCTTTCGGATATTCAACTTTTTGTTTTTCTAACAATTCAATTTTATATCCATTTAAATTAATTTCTGTCCAATAACTTGACGAAAGTTTGTTTTTATAATTTTCTATACTCTCTTCAATTGAGCTACAATTATTTTCATTCTTGTACAATATTGAAGTTGAATAACAATTATTATTTTCAATAAAATTATTATTTCGGAGTACCTTAAAAAAATATTTTTCAAGTGCACTTATAAATTCTTAACACACTGTAGATGTGAATAGATGTCGGCAAAATTGCACATCCGGGATCCCGAGTCGGGATTTTTTAAACCAGGGCCGCGATGGGATCCCGAGGGATAAATCCCGGATAACGAATCCCGAAAATCAAAATAATCCGGGATTGGGATCCCTGAAAATCCGCAGGAATCCCGTCCTGCGCACTCTAGTTGTGAGCTATGGAATGGAAATTTTATTAATCAAAATATACCATTTTTTCAAACGCAGGCAAAAAATTTTGTATTATTTCATTATTAGTAATTTCAATCAAAATTTTCTTTTTTAATTGATCAATTGGAATATATTTTGATTTATTACTTATTTCAACTTCAAACATATTTTTATCTGGATTTAAGTCAATTGAACGTAAATATCCTTCTATATTTTTATTAAAGCCATCGTGTTGATTATTTGACTTTTTAATTACTTTCACCGCAAAACGATCTTTTATTTCAACATTTTTTAAATAAATAAATTCTCTTTTTTCTTTCCAATTATCTACAATTTTCACTTCAACACGAATGAGTTTCGCAGCGCATTGAATTTTCAAAAATATAATTAAAATTATGAGTATGATAAAATAAAATTTAATCATCTGAAATTTTGAAAATTTATTTGCAACATGGCCGGTAACCAACGGTTGTAATTTTGAAATTGAATTTTAAGTTGAATTCTGAAATTGCTCGTACTCGTACCCGCACCTGTCCATTTTTTGCTCGTGCTCGTATTTCGTACACAAGTACGGGTACGAATTTTGTACGAGCTTCCAACCACTACCGGTAACATGAGAACTCGGTTGCTTTTTTCCTCTAGAAATAGTAAATTTATGACAATTTTTAACAAAAAGTATCTTATTTTCTAGTTAAAGAAAATTAGTAGCAATTTCACAATTTAAGAAAGAATTAATTAACGTATTATTTTATTAAACATTAATAAAATTTAAGTGTATAATGAAGCGTAAATCACACAGAGCATCAAAGATATCGACTGATCAAACTCGTGGTATTTGCCTTAAAGTGCAAATATTAATTTTGTAATTTGTCTACGAAAAAATAAATATAAAGATAATGATGCAAGTTTTGAAATTTTTAATGTACTTTAACTTAATTAAAGTACATTAACAATTTTGAAAAAATCGGTGTTGCCCTTCTAAAATAACCCCCCTCTAGACATCAATCGAAAAAAACCCCATGGGGCTATTTTAGAGATAATACGGTATATTGAAATGTTATAATATTTTGTTCAGAATCATAATATCGAAAATCTAATGGCATATTTGGGCTCTTCTCGACGAAATGAATTGCAAAAAATCATTTACATTAGTGAAAATCTACCCTCTACTAATTATTTGAGAATATATTGAGTAGGGTTTCACCGGAACCGAAATTTTGACCGGAACCGGAACCGGAACCGGATCCAATTTGAGTTCCGGTTCCCGGAACCGGAACCGGAACTTTTCTAAGTTCCGGCCCGGAACCGGAACCGGAACCGGAACTTTAAAAAATTTCTAGCAAATTTAAAAAATTTTAAAAAAATTAAAAGAAATTTGAATTCAAAGTAGGTTTGTCGGTTTCACCCAATTATTCTGTTAACCGAAATGACTAACCGAATCGAAACTTTCGGTTAACCAAAATCGAACCGTAAAACCGAACCGTTCTATCCAAATCGCATGATATGCCCGATACCACACCAATTATATGATTCCCCTTTAATCCCCGAATTTCTTCGAATTATCCTTCATCCCACCAGATACCTAGATATCAAATCACCGATATACCATTTTAACCTTTGGTACAAGAAATCACCCAGTATCTTCCAAATCCCCATTAATCCATGCAAATTATCAAAAATAACCTATTCTTCCTTCCTTTTAGCGGCGCAGGCGAAAATTTTGTGAATTTCGGAAGGCCAAGTGAGAAATGCCAAGTTTTGGAAGGCCAAATCCCCATATCCCTGCTATCTACCTTGCACAGCTTAATCCCTCAATATCACACCCAGATCCCTCGGTATTACCTATGACCCCTTGAAAGTAAATGCTGTAACTTAAAATACACCTTCATCCATCCAGATCCTCCGATATAAACTTCATTTAACAGCGCCGCAGGCGAAAATTTTGAGAATTTGGAAGGACAAGAAGCCAGATTTCTTCCTTTCCTGGCATCGCAGGCAAAAATTTTGAGAATTTGTGAGGACAAGGGCTAAATTTCTTCCTTTTCTTGCGCCGCAGGCGAAAATTTTGAGAATATTGTAACGCCAGCCGGGGAAGACCAACCCATATTTTTAAAAAAATCAATCTTTAGGGGTGTAAAAAAGTTCCGGTTTGCCCGGAACCGATTTGAAAACCGGAGCCGGAACCGGAACCAATTTAAGTTCCGGTTCCCGGAACCGGAACCGGAACCAAAAAAAGGCCGGAACTTTCCGGAACCGGAACCGGAACTTCCGGTGAAACCCTAATATTGAGTAAAATGGGATCCCGGTGGGATGTTCCACTTCTATTTTATATCTTCAATTAATTATTCTCTGCGCCGAAAGGGCTGAACCCTTCCCAGATATTAAGGAATTTTGTAACGGGGAGAATGTGATCGGGACAATCCTAGATTGACCTTCGAGGTTGATCAAGTCCCTTGGTTTCTTCCCAACACCAAAAACACCGAAGCAATAATGCGCTATATGTATTTCATGAACTAGGAAAATACAAACAATTATAAATTAGCTAATACATAGTAAAATAATAATTAATCATAAAAGCTAACAACTGAACCGATTGTAGTTGAGAATAAAATCATTAAATAGTTGTAGGAATAAAATTGTTTGTCACATAGAAAATATTATTGGAAATATTTTTGGACATTGAACCTGGATATAAAATATGTATATTATTTGCTCAGTATTACCTTCGGGATTCGATTCTGTCTTACAATTGTATTAAGATTTAGAACCAATAAATAAAACAATTGCATCTAAACTTAAACTTAAAACTAGCCTGTTTTATGTTAGATACATAAATTGGTTAAATAAATTAGTTTAATGTTAAATAATTTGATGGGATAACGTTTTACGGAAACACTTGGATTTGAAGTTGGAAATTTATTTTTAAATTAATTTTGTATTTAAAATAGTCTGCTATAGTTGTGGCTAGTCTCCCGTAGCTGGCCAAAATTTGACTATCCACCGGCTATACATGAGTAGATTTAAATTTCATTTTTAATACATGCATGTCAAACTTGGAAAAAAGTAAAATCAATTTTAAATATTCCACGTTTTTCAGCAATTTTAAATTTATATTTAAATTTATTTTAGCCCAGCACCTTATTTAGCTCAGCATTAAATTAATAAAAAAAATTTTTGGAGCTCTCATTCAAAATTTTGCCAACAATTAAATAATTATGGATAAAAAATCAAATGGTTCTCCTCCCCTCTATTTGAGGAGAGCGTAAAGCCCGACGTTAGCTGAATGCTTAAGCTTGTGTGTTAATTTAATTTAATAAATTAAATTATTATTTAAAAATATAATCGAGAAAATTATATCACATTTTTGATTTTACAAACGCATACATAAATACAAAATAAATTCGAATAAAAGGAAAAAACCTTAACCAAAATTTTGGCTAAAAATAAAATATTTTTATTAAACCCTTTTGAAATGCCTAAAATATTTTTATGGCTTCTCCAATTTTGCATTTTAATAAATCTAATTTATGGATCATCGAAAATAAATAATAATCCAGATGAAATTAAATCGTTACCAGGCTTAAACGCAACACTTAATTTTAAACATTATTCAGGTAAATTATTTAATTTTACGTTAAAAAAATTTTTAAGGTTATTTGGATGCTGGAAATGGCAATTTATTTCACTATATGTTTGTGGAATCCCAAGGAAATCCAGGAACAGATCCATTGGTTAATATCAATGATTCTCTAAAATTATATAAAAATTCCTACAGGTTTTGTGGCTAAATGGAGGTCCTGGCTGTTCATCTCTTGGTGGTCTATTTGAAGAGTTAGGCCCATATTTAATCAACAAAGATGGAAAAACACTTCGCCTAAATCCTTATTCGTGGAATAATTATGCATCAATTATATTTTTAGAATCCCCTGCTGGGGTTGGATTTTCGTATAATACTAAAAGCAAGAATGTTTTGACAAATGATGATGAGGTGCCTTTAAAACTATACAGTCGTACCTCACTTTAAAATATACATAGGATTAAGTAAACCTCAATTTGTGATAATTTTTAAAATTAGGCTTGCCATTCAGTGAAGCAAGTTAAGAGATACATCCTAGTTACCTCCCATTTACCACTTATATTGAGGTCCAAACTTAAGTTGGTGGATTCCGGGAACTCTTCGAATATCCAGATCCGCCAACTAGTCCAAACTAGAGACCGTATCAAGAAGAGATCGCGAAAAAGAACTTCTGTTATCGTGATCTCGTTCATTTTTGTGATATCGATAAGAGTCACTTATGACCCTCGAGTCAGGTCTCTAGTCCAAACATGTATGATATACATAAAAAACTATTTTCAGGTTGCTGTAGCTAACTATGCAGCATTAAAAGATTTTTTCAATAAATATCCTTTATTTAAATCAAATCCATTTTACCTCACTGGTGAGTCTTATGCAGGAACATATATTCCATTGCTTGGTGTTAAAATTTTGGAAAGCATCAAAGATACAAAAATAAATTTAAAAGTATATTTTGATATTTAACTTAGAGAGAAAAAATAAATTTCGTTAAAGGGTGTAGCGATTGGTAATGGAATTTTGAGTGATATTCTTAATACAAACACATTACCTTTATACATTTATGGCCATGGTCTGGTTGATGAGGAAGTTTGGCAAAAATTTCAAAATCAATGCTGTAATGGCTGCATTGGTTAGCTTAATAAATATTTTTAGCTGGGGTTGTTAGTAGATTCCTCATCAGAAGAGTCCGACATTTTAGGTTCCGACCTATTTTTTTGCAACCTTGTAATGTTGAGTAAAGCTCAAAAAACACTTATTTGGCATGGTACCATACTCCTACATTGGACCTATTTGAGCCTAAAAAACCTATTTCGGCTTTTTTGGACCTAAAACCTATTTGAACCTATTTTGACCTTTTTTGGACCTATTTTAGGTTTTTTGAAGATTTTTATTAAAATTAGACTATTTTCTGTCAATTTTTTGTTAAAATGAAGCTAAATATTAAAGATTCTTTCAAAAAATAATTATTAAACATGAATTTGGGGTAATCTTAAAATGGGTGTTAAAATGTGTGATAAAAATAACTTTGTTCAGAATTCCCCGACTCAAGATCAAGACTAGACTACTTTTCCTCTTTCCTTTGCTGGTTGACAGCTTGGCATGCTTTCTTTGGGGCTTAAGTCATGAAAAGTCGGCTCAATGAGCTCACCAGAAGAGCTCGTTAAACCGAGTCAAATGACAACTAAATCAGCTCGATTGATAATTCTGAACAAAATTATAACTAAGTAAATCTTCGGTGGTGCTACGGGGGGTATCGAATAAGCGACAAGAGTTTTTTTTAGCTAGATTCAATGTACTCCCACGAATTTGAACCTATTTGGTCAAAATTTGGACCTATTTTGGCCTTTTTCGGATTTTTTCGAGCCTATTTTTCCACTTTAAAAACCTAAAATAGGAACCTATTTCTCACTTTTTCGGACCTAAAATGTCGGACTCTACTCATCATTTCGATCGTAGATTCCTGTAGATTGTTGATACAAGGTTTGCGACCCGATTTGTTTTCCATATTTGGATTATCCCAGCAAATTTTATATTGTATATTTTAAATTACTAAATTAAATTTTTAAAGATGGTTGCGACATTTTAAGCATTCCTGCAAACACTACATGTGGAGATATGGTAAAATTTTAGTTGTGCAGAGTTAATAAAACCATAAACTTTTAGCAAATGGATTTATATCCTGGTTATACTAATGATTTGCTAAATCCTTACGATATTTATGATGATTGTGGTACAAATATTTATTTAAATTTTTTATTTATTTTTTAGAACCAGCAAACAGAACAATTGCATCTAAACTTAAAATTAAAACTAGCAGTTTACTTTTGAATAGACTGGCTAGAAAGGATCGGCCATTATATTTTAATACACTCCCCTGCACAGATGGTAAGAAAAAAGTGTATTCCCGGCTTTTCTAAGAGCTTGAAAATAAAATTTCGTAATGCAAAAAAGAATCCATACAAGGACTTGGATCACCCTCAAGTTATTCGATCACCTAATAAAGACTACAAGAGCTTTGTGTCTGTTCACCCTACAAGAGCTTTGTGCCTGTTTCCCGTCGGCGTAGTGACAGAAAACCCATAAACAGAAGACACATAGAGATCTTCTGTCCTTGGGTCTTCTGTCTGTGGGCCTTCTGCATCGACACGTCCCGTCTAGGCAGGAAAAAGAGCCAAGACTTTTGGTTAATGAGGTTTTTCTCAGTCCCAATTTCCGAAAAACACTTTCCGTTTTTTACCAAATTGCGTATTATTAATTCTAAAAAAATTTTAAATTCAGTCTCTGCTTCAGAACATTACTTAAACATGCCTGATGGTTATTTTTCTTATTGGAAATTAATTATAAAATAATATTTTAGTACAAAAAGCATTGAATATTCCGTCTAATTTAAGTATTAAATGGCAAGAATGTTCAGATGATATTTACCATAATTATACGACGATTTATAGTCGATTTAAATTTAGAAATAAAATTAATTATTAAATAATTTGTAGAAGAAATGGCCAATTTTACAAAAACTATTTTAAATGCAAATATTCGAATACTTTTTTATTACGGCGATTTAGATGTGATTTGTAATTTTTTGATTGGACAACGCTTTACCGAACAACTTGGATTTGAAGTTGAAAAATTTATCTCTAAATTAATTTTACTGAATGAGTAGATTATGTTTTATACGCGTATTAAAAAGGCGGTTCTCGACTTAAACCTGCCAAAAATCTTAGATCATAAGCAGTATGATTCCATAATATGTCTCACCTGTGTTTCAATCTATTTTAGGATATTATATTATAAGTATGATATGATATTCAGCATAGATGATGAAGACATGAGACAGCTAGATTTGACGTGGTGTATGATACGTGGCCAAACTTAAATAAGACATGTCACTGTTTCTCTTATTCTCCCAAAAAATACCTCTTTATAAAAAATTTTAATAAGGAATAAACCTATAAGGTTGAATGCTCCGAATATATAAATTATAAATATATATAACCAACACAAATTATGTACAAAACAAGGATGAGCTGTCCTCTTTGTTCCGTTTTGGCAGAATTCCGCATAATTCCACACATTCCGCATATGAGCATAAATTATGCGGTCATATGATAGTGCCGCATAATGTATGATCAAGATAAATTATTCTTTCCCCCTATTCTTCCACCTTCTGTCTTCCGCTTCATAAAAGCGGCGGGACTTTTATCAAGAGTAATTAGTGTAGTAACTCAAAAAATATCATACATATTTTTAAAGTTAAAAACGCCAAAACAAGCATGGATTGTAAATGAACAAGTTGGTGGGTTTGCAACAGAATATAAAAATGGATTAACCTTTACTACAGGTAATAAATAAAATTATAGTAATTTTCAAACATTATTTTATTTTTAGTAAGAGGAGCAGGCCACACGGTTAAAATATAAAATATAATTTTTAAAATTATTTTCAATAATTTATTAAGGTCCCCCAATCCAAACCGCAAGAAGCATTGTATATGTTTAAACAATTTTTGGATAATAAACCTCTGTAAAGAATAATATTTATTTAAGGCTTTAAATGGGAATTTAAATTAATTTCTTTAAGAGGCAGCCGATATATCGGGACGGACATATCGGGATATTTCAATGTATGAACAGTTACCCTACTGATTTCGGGACCTACGGCCTCTGGATCTTGGATATTACTTTTGCCTATTGAGGAATAGTGTTTTTATGTTTTTGAACAAGAAATTATTTTTGTCACCCCAATCCCGATATGTCCGTCCCGATACCGCACACCCTTTAACATAATTACGATTTTTGGTTTATCATCTGGGTTTAATATTTTTAAATTTCTAATTGTGATAAAATGATGACAATAAACATATATGTATTAATTAAATATAATGGACTAAAACGATCCGTAGACTAGGCAATATCGTCCCAATGATCCTAATAAAAAATCAAAAAACAACTGAAATTTTTTCTTAAGATACATATAATTCTGGATAAAAATGGAGATTTTTATAATTCATAGCGCTTTAAAACACTTTAATTTTGTTCACAATTCGAGATTAGGTATATTTGAAGGTGTTCTGGGGGAGGGGGGGAATCGTGTACGATAGTTGTAAAATTGAAAAGAATGGATTTACAACGCTAGAGATCGGACCAAACAAATATTTGACGTTGAAAATGAGATATTTGATCAAATTTTATTTGATTTTATTTGATCAAATATTTGTTTAATGTGTTTTGAGAAAAATCAAATTTTTCCAGGGTTGGGCTAATTAAGACTATATTTTTAGATTTTGTCCAGCCCTGATTAAATTTGTCTCGAATTTAGGATTTTGATATTTTTGTTCTCGATTTTCAATATCATCTACTTTTTTCCTTCAATATTAAAAAAAATTTCTTTCTCAAAACTTATGAGTCGGTCTTTGATTTAAAATTTTAAATTAATAAATTATTTAATGTGTCTTTTTTTAGAAATTGTATCGAAAAAATTATATGGAAGTTTATTCAAAAAAGAATCTGTTCAAACAAAAATTTAATTTTTTTTAAAACACAAAACATCAACTTCAAAAATTAGCTAGCTTTATAATTTTGGAAATCTATCAATACTTTATTTAATTAATTTATTATAAAATTTTAAATGCTTCTTCTAATTTTATTAACTATTTTAATTAAATTATATTTAAATTCAATTGTATGTTGTCAGTCTGACGAAATAAGTTCCTTACCTGGGATTAATTTTACGCTTAATTTTAAGCATTATTCGGGTAAATTGTTTATTTATTTAAAAGAAAAAATGAAAAAATAGGAGGATTAAATGCTATATTTGTAGTAGCAATATAGGAGTACCACAAGATAAAACAAGAGCAAAAATATGGTAAAATTCAAACTTCAATACGAACAAGAACACCTAAATAATCTTTTTCTGCTTCCATAGATATATTTCCTCTTATATCCTCCTCAATCCAACCACTCTTCAGATCCCCTGACATCAATTTAGACACCTTTAAATTCCTCAAAATCCTCTTATATCCCCATTAATGCATTCTTAATTAAAAAATATCAGTCTTTAAGATGTGTCCTTCAAATAGAAGCTGCCATCTATTTCATACATATAGCCTCTGAAATTCGTCATTCTATTAATAGTGTTATTCATTTAGAGTGTCATTCTATTTGATAATTCACCTTAGATAGATCGTATTTATAATTCTATAGAATAAGAAAATATATCTTGAATTAAATTAAATAATTTTAAGGATATTTGGATGCAGGAAATGACAATTTATTCTTTTACTGGTTTGTGGAATCCCAAGGAAATCCAAAAACAGATCCATTGGTTAATTTCAATGCTTCTCTAAAATTATCATAAAATTCCCACAGGTTTTGTGGCTAAATGGAGGTCCTGGCTGCTCATCTCTTGGTGGCCTATTTAATGGATTAGGTCCATATTTAATCAACAAAGATGGCAAAACTCTTCGCCAAAATCCTTATTCATGGAATAAATATGCCTCAATTTTATTTATAGAATCCCCCGCTTGGGTTGGATTTTCTTACAAAAATATACCCAAAAATGTAACCACAGGTGATAATGAGGTATTAAATTATCATTTTGATGGTTTATATTTCTAATAAATTTTATAGGTTGTTGTAGCCAATTATGCGGCATTAAAAGATTTTTTGAAGAAATATCCTTCTTTTAAAGCAAATCCCTTATTTCTCACTGGCGAGTCTTACGCGAGTACCTATCTTTCTATGCTTGCTTCTAAAATTGTGGATAATATGAAAGAAACTTCTTTGAATTTAAAGGTACCTAGTCAACATAATCGGGAATTCATTTATAGATAATAATTTTAAGGGTGTTGCTATAGGTAATGGTGTAATGAGCTATATAATTTTACAAAATACTCTGTTGGATTACAACTATGGTCATGGTCTGATTGACGAGCAACTTTGGAATAAATTTAAAGTAAATTGTTGCAAATGTGTTGGTAATTATTTTTATTTGGTTAAATAATAGTTCTGTATTAATAAAAATACATGCCAGGAAAAAATTTATTAAGGCGGATCCGGATTTGACATATCTGACCATATCCTATTTACCCTGGTATATCTTAGAGATTTTAAATAAATAAAACGCTGAAATATGCCAAACGAGATATGAATTAAGCTTTCGAATGGCACATAGAACATGCATATTCATAAAGTATTCATCGAAAAACATGCTAAACCGACGAATTTATGTAACACTCTAATAAATTGGATTAACTATGTTTTACGAAAAAATTAACGAATGTAATCGGCTTAAAAGTTATTAAATTTATTACAGATGGTTGTGATGTTTTTCATTTTGATCCCAACAGTACTTGCACTAAGCAGGTTAATAACTAGTCATATTTTAGAGTAATATTTAATATATTAGTTAAACATTATGCTAAATAATTCTAATAATGAATTGCTAAATGCATACGACTATTACTCTGATTGCGGTACAAAAATTCTTAAAAATAATTATTTAAGTTTTGGATCATAATTTAAATTTAGAAGGTTTAACCAATGCATCTAGTACTTCAAAAAAGCATCGTAACACTCAACAATCTTTGCTTTTAAAGAAACTTAGATCTAACGCTTTACTTAATACATTTGCAAAATTAAATAAAGAAGATGACCTTCAATCAAATTTCCGTACAAAATTTGGAGTGTTAGCATGTGCTGATTGTAAGTACACATTTTAAGACAATGAAATTCCCGAATAATTGCCTCTGAAAAAATTGCCTCCTCTTGATTAATTACCCCCTCTAGGGGAAGGCTGACACAATAATTACCCCTTTAAAATTTCAAAACTCAAATAATTCCTCCTCTTAATTAATTACACCCTCTAGAAAATTTTGAGACAATAATTACCCAGAGTAATTATCTGAAAATTTACGGATGTTGAAGCCATCCATTGAAATTACGAATAAATTTTTTTTGAACTTATTGGACAACTTCGGGAAATTGTTTACCGATTATCTGTAAATTTTTTTGGCTCATTCATAAATTAATTGCCAGTGGTTGGAATTTTGAAATTTGCTCGTACACAGGCCTTTTTTACCTCGTTCTGTAACTGATGGTCTAATCATAACCAAAAATTATAAAATTTTTTTGATGTTTAAATTAATAGTTTTTAAATAAAGTATTTCCTCTCGAATCATACTTGAATCTGCCTGAAGGTAAAATAATTCTTAAAATAAATATTTTATATTCGTATTTAGTCCAAAAAGCCATCCATATTCCTTCAAATAAAACAATTAAATGGGAACAATGCCCAGATGATGTTTATGACGAATATTATATAGATTATCGTAATTCTCGAAAATTATTTTTCCAAAAAAAATTTTTTTAAGTTGACATGTTTAATTTCACCAAAAATTATTTAAACGCAAATGTTCGTTTATTGCTGTATTATGGAGATGTTGATGGAGTTTGCAATTTTTTGATAGGCCAAAAATTTTCTAGACAGCTTGGATTTAATGTGAGGGGGGATTTTAATTTAATTAAAAATTAATTTAAAGTTAAAAACACCCAAACAAGCGTGGATAGTAGATAAACAAATTGCCGGATTTAAAACTGAATATGATGGAGGGGTGACTTTTACTACAAGTAAAGGAAAACTTTTTGAAGTAAAAAAATTTTTTTTAAATTTTTCAGTTAGAGGAGGCGGACATTATGTAAAAAATTATATTAACATTAATTAAAAATTAATTTTTTTAAGGTTCCTCAAACAAATCCTAAAGAAGCGTTGTATATGTTTAAACAATTTTTGGATGATAAACCTCTTTAAGAGAGAAAATTAACTTTTTTAATACCTCTAAAAATAAACCAAATTTTCTGACTAGGGTTGTCTGTTCTTGACCGATGATTTTTCGGTTCGGTTCGGATATTCGAAAATTTCGGTTCGGATATCCGAAGATTTTCCAAGAACCGACAACACCATTTTTGACATAAAATGGGCAACGGGATATGGGTATCGGGATATGGTGTGGCATCGGGATTAATCGGAACTGGTATCGGGGTTACTTATACTTTTCTAATACTGACTCGGGATTGTGATGTGAAAGTCAATATCGAAACGATTCGTATCGGGCTTCAAAAATACCGATATTACCAATCCGAACTTTGATACCGCTTAACCCTAAAAATAAACCACATTAAATTAACAAATATTTTTGAAATAATTCTTTATCTATCCTGTGATATCTTTCATGATTTAATATACTGAATAAAGCTTTATTGGGAAACTAATTCTATCCAAACAAAATTTGTTTTTAATTATTCTTCCTTATTTTTTGAAGCTGTCAGCGCTAAAACACACCCGCCACCCGCCTAAGTGTTTTAAATTTTGCCTGATCAATCCTAATATTCAATCGAAAAATTGCCTCCTCTATCTAAACACAAACCCTCATCGTTTTAATTCATAGTCTTTTTTGTCAAGGGACATAAAATATGCATGTAAACTGGGCGAGAGTTTGTTAAAAAGATTATTAGAATATTTTTTACTAAAAAATTTTTCTTTCTTTTTTTAAATTCTTTATCTATCCTGTGATATCTTTCATGAATTAATATAATGAATAAATTTAATATACTGAATAAAGTGATTTAAAAATATACATAAGTGATTTAATAAATCATATACTAAATGATTTAAAAATAAGTCTAAAAATAAAAACTGAGAATTAGTACTTAACCTCTTTCAAGGATTAAATTAATGATTTTAAAGAATTTTGTTATAAAAGAGGTTAAATAATTTTAATAAACAGTTCGAAATTAAAAATAGTAGAAGAGTTTTAGTCTATAAAATTCGCAATTAAAAAGGCTTAAAATATAAGAATTAAATTTATAGAGTTTAGAAGAAAATTAATAAATTAAAGAATTTAAGAGGCACAGAAAAAAATTTTTATGAAATTTTTGAAATTTTTGAAGTAAAAAGGAATGTTTGATTTTAAAAATTATTTTCTTAGGCAGTTGCAAATTATTTTCTTGAAAATTTATTTTTTTAATTGTTTATTTGAAGAGGATGGGTGATTGAGACTACCAGAATAGACAGTGAGGGACTGGAGTTTAACCAAATTTTTGTGAATATCAGAGTTTAAATGAGACTGACGATTTCTACGTTTAATTTGCACACCACAGATATTGCATGTCCATTTTTTCTTTTTGCTACTTTTGCTTTTTGTTTCAGGCGACTTTCCCTGTTCTTTAATATAAAGTTTTTGTTAAAAAAATTTTAATTGATTTTAAAAATTATTTTTTACAAAAAACTTCAAAAACGATTAATTTTTTAAATAATTGACCAAAAAAGATAGATCAGTCCAAACAATAATTGCCAAAAAAAATTATCAAATTTTCAATATACCGTATATCCTTTAATAACTACCCTGGGTAATTATTGTTTCGACCTCCCGCTGGAGGGAGTAATTAATCGAGAACGGCAATTATACGAGGTTTGAAATTTTAACGTGTTTTAGGGCATTTGTTTGGGGGGTAATTATTGTTTCAATCCATCGCTGGATGGGGTAATTAATGGAAATGGAGTAATTAGTTGAGGGAAGGCAATTAATACAGGTTATACGGTATAACAAAAATAAATTTTACCAGGTGAAGAACAGGGATTTCCACTAACCGATGTTGTCTAAAATTAAATTTTTTTAAATAATCTAATCCTTTATGGTTAACCTCAAAGTTTGCTTCTTGTGAACTCATTAAAGCCTTAAATTAGTTGTTTTATTTAACTTTTAAATGAAAGAATATTTGAAAATTTTTAAAAATAAATTAGCTAAATAATTAAATTATTTTGCAGGTGTAAAAAGAATAACACTAAATGTTTGTGGAAGAGAGAAATTGTGTGTGTGTCTAAGTCTTACTTATTTAAAAGTTATTGAATGATAGATAGAAAAGGAGAAAGAAGAAAAGAATGAGGGGTATATGTCGCCTCCACATAAAATGTCGAATCCATAAAATGGCGCTAACTTTAAAAACCCACAAAATGTCGAATCCATAAAATGGGAATCCATAAAATGGCGCTAAGGCCAAAAACCCACAAAATGTCGAATCCATAAAATGGGAATCCATAAAATGGCGATAAGGCCAAATACCTACCCACAAAATGTCGCTAAAATTTTTATTTTTTGTTTTTATTTGTTTTGTTTGTTTGCTTTGATAGTTTTTTGACAAGTAAAGGTTATTAATTGTTTCCTATCTTATATTTTTTATAAGAATTTTTCCAAGATGGATAATTTTATTTATTAGATGAATATCAGGCTTAAAATCGCCGAGTAAATAAGTCAAGAAAACGGCGATTTCCAATCGATGAATCGTCAAAATTTAATCAAGAACAGCAACAATTTTCAGATGTAGCTGAACTACTAACTCTCCATGCGTGATTTCCTTCTGTCCTTCATGGTGGATGTCGAAAAACAAGTGCCACAACAACTTTTAAGCGTCCTAACTCAGCTTGGTTTAAAGATTAGTGGATATCTTGATGGTTCGCGCACTATAGCTCATCCAGAAGAACATGATTTGGAAGATATAGTGTCCTATTTTATCGATTCGGTGCTTTTATGAATAAAAATGTTTTATTCTTCCAGTTTAATTTAGTTTTTTTAATTTTGCCTTTTTTCGACATTTTGTGGGTATCTGGCCTTTTCGCCATTTTATGGATTCGACATTTTGTTGATTTGGCCTTAGCGCCATTTTATGGAACGCCATTATATGGAAACGACTTTTATGGGGGAGCCGTATATGTATGAGAATTATTTTAGTGAGAACAACTTTGTAAAAATTAAAGAAAAGGTCACTCCCTATTTAAAATTAAGGGCTCACCCCTGTCCTTAGTGACGAATATTCCGCTGGAGACGAAAATTCCGAAAATGTTGGAGACGAAAGTTCCGAAAAGTCTTGGAGACGAAAGTTCCAGAGACAAAAATTCCGTACACCTTCAAAAATGGAGTTACGGAACTGGAACTACAGAAATTAAAAACCTGGTTCTGGAACTGGAGCCAGTTCCAGAGAAATTTTGAAACTTTGACATCACTAGAGCGTGTTTTTTAGGTTTTTACCTATTTTTTTGCAAACAGCCCTTGATGAGATAAGTCGAAAAAACACTGTTTTACCGCATAGTGTAACGTACTTTTCGAGTTATTAAAACCTAAAAAACCTATTTCGGCCTTTTCAGACCTAAGACCTATTTTGAGCGTATTTCGACCTTTTTTGGACCTATTCTAGGTTTTTTGAAAATTTTTCTTAAAATTTGATTATTTTAGTCAATTTCCGCCAAATCTAGCATCTCAGACACCCAAAAACACAAAAATTTTCGCCTACGGCGCTAATATTCTGGTATAACTACATTTAGTAGGAACTAGAATCTGTCATCGTACTAGGAACTGCCCTCGAAAATTGTCAAGTTAACATTTATATTAGACATTTCAGTGATTTTCCCTGACTATTGAACTTTAATACCTACACCATTTTGATCAAGAAATTTTTTAAATTTTTATTTGTCTATTTGGGAATTTTGCGGATGAAATAAGAGGGTAGATTTGAAGGGAAAAATAGTCTTCTGATATAATGCTAAATCAAAGATTTTTTTAATCATTCTATATCCAAATTATATGCTACAACCCCCGCATATTCAGATCCCATTAACCCAATAAATCCCTATTCAATTCAAATCCACCGATATCCCATTTTATCCCGTCAACTACCCTTATATCACGATATTCCTTCAAATGCTACGGTATTTAGGGTTAGGCATTGTTAAATCACTCTAATTTCGATAAATTTCTATTTAAAATAAAAAAATATCATAAAAAATTCAAATTTAGTAAATGTGATATCATAAATTTTTTAATTTCAACCAAAATTAGAACCTATTTTGTCAAAATTTGGACCTATTTTGGCCTTTTTCAACCTATTTTGGACCTATTTTGGAAATTTTTTGGACCTAAATAGGATCCTATTTGACGATTTTTTGGACCTAAAAAACACGCTCTAGACATCACTGTACATAGGTATATTACAGGGATAGGGGGCGCCGAAGCGAAATATGGAAGGTGCAAGTCCCTGATGTACTTATACGTATTTAGATGCTACAACAAGTTAATGTCAAGAAAATAAATTACTTAAAATTTAAAGTTACTTTCTTGTCAAGCTGTATAAAAACAAAAGTGTAATGAATTCAATCTTTTATTTATTTAGAAATTATAATTTAAATTTAAAATAAGTAGTAGATCACAATTAAGCAAATCACAAATATAATCTTTAAATTTAACAGAATGCCAAAGGCCAAGTTACAAAAATCTTTGTCGTCGCACTCATAGCAGGGACAGTCATCCTCAATGTAATTTGCCTCTAAAGATTGCTGATAAGTTACACATTCACCACAGCCTTTCATTGCGCCATCTAAATTTTTGAATTAAATTTATTTAAAATTTTAAAGCATTTTAAATAAATTTTTAAAGATTTAGGGTAGGGTTTAATTTTTAATAATCTAACATTTGCTACAAACTGCTTTGACGCATTTATCACCAAAAAGACGCCAAGGATGTTTTTCAGTATCGCACTCTATTAACTTAAAACTTGTTCTATCTTTAGAAAATTGATCATCATCTTCGTAACATTTGACCGAGTCTGTTAATAAATTATATTTTTGTTTTTTTTTAAATTTACCTCCAAATTTAAAATTTATTAATATGAAAAGAGTTAAAATATTTATCATTGACAATCCCATTTTTAAATTATTTAAAATTAAATTCGTAATAAATAATTAGGTAGATGGTAGAGAGATGTTTTTAATGGGAAAAATATTTAATTTCTGCTATCAATTTTGAAATTATAATGAATCATTATAAAGTATAAAATTTCAAATATTAATAAAAGTAGTAAGTGAACCGACAGGGAATAATCGAGCACTACGGATAACTCTGAATATATAATAGATACAAATTAGGGATGGGCCTTGCTGCATTATAAACAATCATTTATTCGCCAGTCATGTCGGCGGAATTTTGTTCACTGGAATTTTGGTCAAAAGATTTTTCGGAACTTTGGCGTTTGTCAAATCAAGTCAGATTTCGGTGATTTTGCTGTCATTCGACTCATTTGTTTATTTGAATTTTTCACACCAAACTCGACCTTACTCCCCTTATGATTTTTCAATTTTTCGGGACTTATAGCTCCGTCAGAATTATTGCCTAATTAAGGGTGTGATACCATTCGACTCAGCTCGTCGTCGAGACAAATCGAATAACATATGCCTTATTTTCTCTAAAATAGCCCCATGGGGTTATTTTTTTCGATCAACCTCTAGAGTGGGGTATTTTAGAGGGGGTGGGGGGCTATTTTTTCGATCTCTAAATTTTTTGAAAACCAAAATTTTTTACCAGATTTTGAATAATATTTTTCTAAAATTTAATAGAATTCATTAGAGTTGTACCCCGACCCCGAACCCCGACCCCGTTCCCGAACGATTTTTTCACGATTCTCCCCGACCCGAACCCCGCCCCGAAAAAAAGTGAAAACCCCGTTCCCCGGCCCAAAAAGTTTCGGGGTTATCGGGGTTTTATGCCCCTAAAAAATGTCATTTTTTGGAGAAATTAATGAAGAAAATTTAAAAAATTTCCACCCATTTTACTTTGCTTTTATTATTTTTGAAAGAAAAATGAATGAAATATCATAATTTTCTTTCATTCTTTATTAAGAGACTTGTGGTTGAGTGGCTTAGTCGTTGGTTTTACCCTATATTTCATTAATATATGATTGGATTCGGATCCATATAAGGATAACTCTGTTGTTTTTATATTTTTTCACAAAAACAAATTATTAACGAGTTAAATTTTAATTTGAAAATATTAATTTTATTTTTAACTGATATCCCTTAAACCAGCCTTAATCCTTCAAACCCTTTGTATCACCAGTTCTCAACCATAACAGCTGGTAAACTATCGAGGTCATGTTAACGGGAATCAGAGATATAAAGGGATTTGTAGGATATCGAAGAATTAAGGAGTTTTAAAGGGATTTAAAGGGATATAAGGTTTAGATTAAAATGGATTTGAAAGGATTACGTGAATTCAACGGAATTAACAAGGATTTCGTGGGAGATTTAAGGAATAATCGAAGATATCTCCTGATATCCGTCCAAATACTCTTATCGGCAATACTCAATATTCTTATAAATCACTAATATCCCTTGAACCAACAAAAATCACTCCAGATCACCTTGTATCCCTAGTCATACCATTTAATCCTAAAAATCCCACATAATCCCTCCAGATCCACTTATATCCCAAGAAAATATATCGATTTCTAAATATTTTTGAGCATTTTTTTCTCTAAAAATTTTTCCACCAAACCCCCGTACCCCGACCCGAACCCCGGCCATATTTTGCTCCCCCGACCCGAACCCCGCCCCGAAACAATTGGAAAACCCCGTACCCCGACATACCCGCCCCCGAACGTTCGGGGTACAACCCTAGAATTTACATATAAATGAATTAAAAATAAGTCTAAAAAATAAAAACTGAGAATTAGTAATTAACCTCTTTCAATGATTAATTAATGATTTCAAAGAATTTTGTTACAAAAGAGGTTAAATAATTTTAATAAACTTTTCTAAATTAAAAATAGTAGAAGAGTTTTAGTCATAAAATTCGCAATTAAAAAGGTTTAAAATATAAGAATTAAATTTATAGAGTTAAGAAAAAAATTAATAAATTAAAGAATTTAAGAGGCACAGAAAAAAATTTTTTTGAAATTTTTGAAGTAAAAGGAATGTTGGTAATTCTTGCGTTCGTACGCCCCCCCCCCCTCTTTTCCTTCCTCAAAGTTTAAAAAATGGTCAGTCAGTCTTATGATAAAGAACTCGTCGAGCGGTGTCGAATGACACCAAAATCAACCCCCGGTCTTAATTTTAGGCCTGACAAAAACAATGCAAAGCAAAGGGTTTTGCAACAGCTTCTTACTGATGACAATAGGATTACTTTATGTCATAACTTTGTCAAATCTTGTTCAATTACGCTGATTTTGATGTCATTCGAATGACTGAACATTTTTTAACAATTTGAGGAAGGAAAAAGAAGGGGGGGGGGGGTACGAACGCAAGAATTACCGGAATGTTTAATTTCATAAATGATTTTCTTAGGCAGTTGCAAACAAAAGTTGAAAATTTATTTTTTTAATTGTTTATTTGATGATGGTTGAGTGAGTCTACCAGAATAGACGGTGAGGGACTGGAGTTTAACCAAATTTTTGTGAATATCAGAGTTTAAATGAGACTGACGATTTCTACGTTTAATTTGCACCCCACAGATATTGCATGTCCACTTTTTCTTTTTGCTACTTTTGCTTTTTGTTTCAGGCGACTTTCCCTGTTCTTTAATATAAAGTTTTTGTTAAAAAAATTTTAATTGATTTTAAAAATTATTTTTTACAAAAAACTTCAAAAACGATTAATTTTTTTAAATAATTTTGACCAAAAAAAGTAGATCAGTCTAACCAGAGCTGCGTCGAAATTTCGATTTTCGACGTAGTCAATTAACCACTAATATCTCAATTAATCCATTTACCTTACCCTAATAAGAGGGATATACTGGTATCAAGTGGTAAGTAGAATATCGGAGTAATAGGGGGTTTAAGATGTCTAATCTGCGTATTTAATTGGTCTCTAATCAACCCCCTAATCCTGTATATCCCTCCGATCACTGATATCCTTTAAGACTACACTTAATCCAATGAATCCCCTTATATCTCAAGATTAACCCTTATATCTCCATATTGCGGATGTTTAATACTTTTCTTTCGATTTTCAAAGATTTTTTATTTCGACGCAGCTCTGGTCCAAACAATAATTGCCAAAAAACAACAAATTTTCAATATAGGTATAACAAAAATAAGGTTTACCAGGTGAAGATGAGGGATTTTCACTAACCGATGTTGTCTAAAATTAAATTTTTTGACTAATCTAATTCTTTATGGATAACCTCTAAATTTGCTTCTTGTGAACTCATTAAAGCCTTAAATTAGTTGTTTTATTTAGTTTTTAAATGAAAGAATATTTGGAAATTTTTAAGAATAAATTAGCTGAAAATTTAAATTATTTTCCAGGTGTAAAAAGAATAACACAAAATGTTTGTGGAAGAGAATGTATAGATGGTTAAAAAAATTATTTAAAAGTTATTGAATGATAAATAAACAAGGAGAAAGAAGAAGAAAAGAATGAGGGGTATATGCTTGAGAATTATTTTAGTGAGAACATCAACCCTCTTCACATACCTGAACATCAACCCCCTTAACGTCAACTACCCTGAACATCAACTCATTTAAAAATATGTTTGTAATGGGTACACCCCAGCTTAACGCCGAACAAAATTTCCAGTTGACGGATTTGCAGACCCGACATTTGCAGATAATATTGGCTCGACAATTGAAGATCAGACATTTACAGATCCGACCTTTGCAGACACGACATTTGCAGATATTAATTTCTGAAAAAAAATTTTTTAATTAAAAAAATTTAAAAATCTTAAAAAATCAATAGTATAGTATACCGGTGGAAAGTTTTCGATATAAGACCCATACCATTCGTCTCGACGAGCTGAGTCGACGGATCATTCAAAAACTAAATAAAACAACTAATTTAAGACTTTAATGAGTTCACAAAAAGCAAACTTAGAGGTTATCCATAAAGAATTAGGTTAAAAAATTTAATTTTAGACAACCTCGGTTAGTGGAAATCGCTCGTCTTCAACTGGTAAACTTTATTGTTTGTGGATGTTACAACAAAGAACACGGTTTGTTAACTTTGTTCTTGGAGATTACAGTATATTTATTACTCTCAAGAGTCACATTAATAAAAGTTATATTGAATACATCTTTATTGAATACACCTCCGCATCACTGCCAACAAATGCCAAATACCCAGCAATAATGATGAATAGTTTTTAGTAAAAGTATCATTTTTATTAAAATTATTTTAAAATACTGTTTTATAAAAATTACTCGATTTACTCGTACTCGGCCTAAAAGTTGAACTCGAACTCGAGGTTTTCAAACTCGGCATTACTTGAACTCAGTTTTTTACCCAATTACTCGGTACTCGACTTACTCTACCTACTACTACATACTTTCTATTGTTTATATTACCAAAATTAATTTCAAAAGTCATTCAGCCGCTAGTTATCTTTGTTTGTCTAAACGATATACCCAATCTCATATACCTTTGAAATAGCTTTTTAATTGATATTTATATCAGGTCTATTTATTTATTCAGTGTTTTTTAGTTGTAGAAACATTTTGACATCCCTTCCAGAGGTGGGTCGGAACTGTCATAGGTATCGGAAATCGAAAGAACTGGAAATCGGGACTGGCTCAAGAGTCGGAAATCGTGAATCAAAATTTTTTTCGAAATCGGAAGGAAAAAACGTCGGCGGGCGGAAATTTTGGAATCCCATCAGACCAGAAAATAATTTTCTTACTGGAATAACATTTATTGTCCTAAATTCTCTTTTAGTCTACCCAAAAGAGAATTTACGTATTAATTCATTAAATTAGATTAAATACTTCAAAGTATTTAATTTTATTTTAAGAAAAAGTTAGTCATAAACCTGTTTATATTCAGTCTATGTGCAAATCACCCGAGGCATCCAGCTGGATCGGAAACATTTTTGTTATAAAATTACTTTTCTTTTTTATATTTTCTCTTTTTAAATTTTAATTTTAAACTGTACTTAAATCTGGTTTTTAATTTATCTAAAAATAATTTTTCCCCAAATTTTCAATATATCGTCGTCCTTCATTCCTCAGTATGGAAATGAAGTACATATTTTTGAAGAGAAAAAAAATTTTCGTTGGTTTTTGGCTCATAAAATTTAAAATCTATTTTAAAACAAATTTTAATGATAAAGGATAAGATGTTGAATAAAGAAGGTTAAACAAGGAAGGAGAGAGACAGCTGAGACAAAACTGCCATTCTTTACCCAGAGTAAACCCAGCCTAAGAATTATTGTTACAGTCGAATCGTACTCGTAAGACACACCTTCCGTTTAGGAGAATATAACATTCAAGTTAGTGTATCGAAAGGTAAGATTGGATCTCGATATGTTTGCAATTTTGGGGTAGAGAAAATCTGACGTTATTAAGAGAGTCTTGTCTAAAAAGGAGACGCTTAACTGATGGGTCACTCAAATTTGAGTCAAATCTCGTTGTGTCTTCTTTTGATTAAAAAAATCTGACGCTAATTTGAAGCATCTCATTTGTACAACAGTGCAACTGAGGTGTGTCCCGTTGTATTTTTATAGAAATTTTTATGTATTTTTTTAAAATTTCAAAAATATTTTTTATAAATTAAAAAATTAATTTTTTATTTTAATTTAAAAAGTAAAAAAATTTTTTTTATAAATTTTTGCTGACAATCACAAATTCTTTTTTTTACTTTCTTAATTTAAACTGCGCAAACCCGCTACCCCCACAAACTACGCACAAATTCCATTAACCCTAAAAATGCTGCGCGCGTTGCTTTTTATTTGTAAATCATAAACCAAAATCAGTCACAGCGAAAAATATTTTTTTTTAATTTTAATCATTCTCGCATTTTTGATTTTACGCAAAATTTTATTTTTTTAATACAAAATAAAAATAATTTTTGAAAAAATTATTTTAAATTTTTTAATTAATCAATTAAAAAAAAATATTTTTATTTATTTTTTTGAAAAATATTATTTAGTATTTTATCCAAAATTAAAATTAAGTAAAATAAAAATATGTACTCATGTTTTTATTTGTTTGTGAAAAAAATAAATTAATTAATTTATTAGTAAATAATACTACTTTTTTTATGTAAAAGGTTGTTTTTGGAAAATAAAAATTTTTTTTTTAAATTTTTTTTAGATTTATAAAAAATTTTTGAATTAGATTTTTGAAATTTTTTCAAAAAAAAATTTTTGTTTTTTATGGCATTTTCTAAAACGCAAAACTTTTTGAAACAAAATTATACAAAATTAATTTCCTATAAAATTTTTAATTTGATTGGACACCTAAAAGGTAGAAAAATTTTTTAAAGATAGGGGTGTTCACTACCAGTTATTAACCGATTATTTCAGTTTATCCAAATTTCAAAACCCCGGTTTTCAGTTTTTGGTCAAATACTGGTTTTATTTTGGGAGAATTTTTATCAGAATTTTTATTTTGTAAAAACAGTTTAATTTTTGGCAAAAAAATATCAGAATTTTCAGATTTCTTAATATCTCATACTTCTTTAAATTTTTTATTAATTTTCAATAATATTTGATATTTAGTCTTTATGCTAATTCTTTCCAAAACGAATATTTTATTAAAACTAAAAAAGATTTTTTCATAAAAATATACACAAATGATTAATTTAATTAATTTTTTGCTTGCCCTAATTATTTATTCTTTCATTTTTTTGATTATAAGATTTTTTGTTAAAATCATTTCTCGATCATTTGGCGTCATTAAAGCGAGATCAATAATTAATTTTTTTAAGATAAAATTATATATTATATTGAAATGATTTAGAGGAGAGGGTATAAATTTTCCCGTATAGATACCGTATTTCTCGATAAATTTTGATTAGCTGCCTCCTCGATTATTTGCCTCCTCGATTAATTACCCCCTTTAATTAGAAGTTGAATAATAATAATGATAATCAACTGTAATTTTAAAATTCGAATACTAGCCCTCCCTGGATAATGATGTACTAAGGCTTGCTTTTCTTAAACTCAAAATCTGGTTCAGCATTGCGCCTCAAAGACTCAAGACCAGACTTAACCTCAATACTAAAATTTTAAAAGACACAAGTCAAATCCTCTCTCCTCTCATGGCAACTTTATAACATTTACCAGTGAAAAGTAAAATTTTAAGGAATACATATAAAATTAATTAAAGATTTAATTAAAATTTATTTTTAATAATTTATATAAAATGTCATCGCAAATTGAGCGTTTAAATTGTGCCGTAAAAAATTATGCTTGGGGCAAGTTGGGTGAAAATTCAGAAGTTGCCCGACTTTATATTGAAGGCCATGAGGATAAAGAAATTAATAGTGATACTCCATATGCAGAGCTGTGGATTGGAACACATCCTGATGGTCAGAAATAAAAAGATTTTTCCTTTTTTTTAATATACATACTACTAGGCAACCTCAATTTAGGGCAAAAATCGTATTTAAAATCTTGAGACATCTAAAAGGGTACACCTCTCGTACGGGCCCGACGTTCGAGTCATCTTTTTGGGACTCATTTTTATCGGATCAGGCTGGTCGAGGCTTTTTTCGGGACAAAATTCGATGCCCGACCCGATCTTTAGGATCGGACAAAATTAGGAAGGATTTACATCTAGTCTTATATCCATATACTGTCATAACATAAGTCAATTTTAATAAATATTTTAAGCGTTTTACAAAAGATAAATAATGACTTTATCATTAATTAAAAAATTATTTTAACTAAAATAAAAATATAAAAAATTAAAAAAATTATTTTTTTATTAAATTTTGAGGTCCATCAAGAATTCATTTAACCAATGTCCAATTAAGTGAAATCATTACAGACAAGAATAAAAAGAAAAATATGTATGTTTAGTAGGGTTTCACCTGAATCCACTTTTGAGTTCCGCATCCCGGAACCTGAACCGGGACCAAAAACGCCGAAACTTTCCGGAACCGGAATCGGAACTTCCGGTGAAACCCTAATGTTCAGTTAAAGTGTATTCTTATTAATAATTCGTTAATTTAGTCAACTACCTTTTATTATGAAAATAATGTCAATTCGGCATACACTATCACTTCAAGTCCATCCAACTAAAGTATTTATAAAAAATAATTTTTATTTTTTAATTAAAAATTATTTAAAGGAACAAGCCATTTTATTAAACAAACAAAATCCAACTAATTACCCCGATCAAAATCATAAACCAGAATTGGCTTATGCATTGACTAGATTTGAGTTACTTTGTGGATTTAGACCTGCAGGGGAAATTTTAGAAAATATGAAAGGTGATTTTTGATTTTGTTTAAATTTTTTTGAAAATTTCCCCTCGAAAAAATTCATCTGTGAAAAATTTATTAGTCAATCTACCGTATAACCTGTATTAATTTCCCTTCCTCAAATAATTACCAAGCTTCCATTAATTACCCCATCCATCGATAGATTGAAACAATAATTACCCCCTAAAAATGCCCTAAACACGTTCAAATTTCAAACCGTATATTACCCTCCCTCGATTAATTACTCCCTGCAGCGTAAAGTCGAAACAATAATTACCCAGGATAGTTATTAAAGGTATACGGTAGATCCATTGAAATCAAAAGTAATTAAGACTCGAACTAGGATACAAGACCCAATGAAAAATATTTGGGATAGGAGTTTATCATGGCCGGAAGGTCCCATAAAGAACTCGATCGAGTATTCAAAAATAAAAAGAAACAAAGGGGTCTTGAATATCCTAAAAATTGTCTTGGTCGGGTTTTGTTTTAATGTTCAAATTAGGATAGAAGACCAAGCGAATTATGGCTATTCAAAAAATTTAAGAGGAACAACGAAGAATAAAACCAGATCACACTCTCCCTAAATTAATAACCACTCCCTTTACTTAAATTAAAATTAACCACCCATTCCTTAAATTATTTTTAAAGCATTTCCTGAATTATGTCAAGCAATGGGTTATCAGAATACCAAACAATTTATTGAATTATCTAAACAATTTTCGCCTGATTCATATGAAATGATTAATGCTTTGAGGAAATGGTCTAAATAATTTTTCTAAGAAATAAAAATTTAATTTAAAGTTTTTCAACAATGATAAATTTTAAAAAAGAAAATGTTAACAAATTAATTATAAATTTAATTAAAAGAATAAATAATGGAGGTTTTTGAATTAAACTTAAGCTAAAGTTAAAAAAAATAAATTTAGTTTATGGATGTTTGAATATCAATACAATAAAAATAATTAAGGATATGTTTCAAGTAATTTATTAAAACTTTTTAAAAATATTTTTAAAAATAAAATTGATTCTTGTTATAACCAGAGGTGGATCGGAATTCCGATTTCGAACGTTTTTTCCTTCTGATTTCCGATTTCCGAAAAAAATTTTGATTTCCGAGTTCCGACTTTTAAGCCGGTTCCGATTTCCGTCTCTTCTTATTTCCAAAACCTCTGACTGTTCTACCTGTTCCGACTATTCCTCTGGTTAGAACGAATTAAAGAATGATAGGTGGAGTTTTAACTAGTGAACGACTTTTAGAAGACAGGGCTTAGGATACGCCTCCATCACAGGGCTTAGTACAGGGCTTAGCGCCTTAACATATAGAAAAATGTTCAAGTAGTCATCGAGCTCTTACAACTAAGTTCTAGCCTGTCTTATTACCGGGAAATGTGAGATCGGGCACTAGGCCACACACCCGATAATGCCGACTACAGAGAACCTATGCATATGTAGTCCATCCCTTCCCAGACATAATTTTTAATCTGTTTGATTTTATGTCAGAATATTGGTTAAGCCGGGAAATGTGAGATCACCGGGAAATGTTGGGAACGACTTCTATCTGATTTGTAAGGTTTTATCCATTATAGTCTTATCTATATGTCGGTATAACTCAGATCAACTTTAATTAAATATTTTAAGCGTTTCCCAACTGATATAGGCTGTTTATCTCCCATTTATTTAAATCATATAATTCTTGAACCTGGCGAATGTGTTTATTATGGAGCACAAGAATTACATGCATATCTTAGTGGAGGTGAATATAAAATTTTAAATTTGAGAAAAAATTTTTCAAAGAATGTGTTGAATGTGTAAGTTGTTCAAATAATACAATACGTGCTGGATTAACTAATAAATTTGTGGATAAAGCAAATTTAATTAAAGTGCTTAATTATAGAATGACTGATCCAGAATATTATTGTAAATATTTATAATTTTTTTGGGAAGCATTAAGTTCATTCTGATTATATGTAGCAGGAATGTGCTGAAACTGATTTTAAAAAGCGTAAGGTGAAACTGGCTCATCCCGGAATGTGTAGTAAGAAAGTTCCGAATTACTCGAGAATCACGTATTCTTGTCGGGATCCTTTAGGGGAAAGCTAAAAATTTAAAAATATTATTGAAACCCCCTTGATCCCAATACCTTCTTTTAATTTTTTCCGATTTCTCACATTGGTCATACTGTATTTATTCTAATATAAAGACAGTCTCTATTATAACGACACCCTAGAAGAGGGTTGAAAATTAAAACGACATGTCGTTTTATTTGAATAAACACTGTAAACACGCTACACATAGTTATCGTTTTAAACTTAGTTACAGGCCTGTAGTAACTTGAGCTCGCGGGTCACTGTCCTGCTCCTCCTCGGCTCCATGACAATTGTACAGTGGGACAATTGTACAGTGAGACAATTGTACAGAAGACCATTGTACAGTGGACAATTGTACAGTATTAAAAGCTTTTTTAAAAAAATTTAATGTTAACCCAGAGTATCGAAAACATATGATCAACAATAATCAAAGACGGAACGAACTTCAACGAACTTCCAATGACGGAAAATCCAATAACGGAACGAACTTCAATTTTTTAATTTATATGCGAAGTCTGTGATCAATTGTGTGAGTGATCAATCAATCAGTGGAGTGATCAACCTTGAAAGTGAAAATCGGAAAAAGTTGAGAAATATCGAATCGAAAACCGAGTGATGATCAACCGGAAGAGTGATCAAACGATAGCGATAAACGACACCGATATCAATCACCTTAGACACCGATATCAATCACCTTAGACACCGATATCAATCACCTCTCGGTTGATTAATTGAAAAATTTGATCAAAATAAGCTTCCCCGTCATTAGACAACCTCCCATGTTGTATAATAAAATTTAAAAAATTTAGTGTTGATCATATGGTTTTCGATACTTTGGGTCATATTTCTTACTATTAGAGCAAAATTATATTTCTTTTTAAAAAGTACTAAATACTGTACAATTGTCCACTGTACAATCGTCCGCTGTATAATTGTCTCACTGTACAATTGTCCCACTGTATAATTGTCGTGCCACCCTCCTCCTCCTGGTGACACGACTCGGGCACAGTGATCCAATTGCACAGTAAGTCATTTGCACAGAGGGCATCTGCACAGTAGACAATTGCACAGTAATTTGTGGTTAAGTGGATTTGTGTTAGGTTTTACTTATTGTTATAAGGGAATAAAATGTTATTAATTATTAGAGATTGGACCGAATGGTTTTTTTCGATATTTTTGACATCGAAAAATATCGACTGAGAAAATTTTGACTTTTTCGATATTTTTCGGTATTCGTTATTTATCGAAAACTATCGACCGACCTCTTCGGCGATCTCTACCTTTTCCAAAAATAAGATTTCTGAGAAAAATCTTTAAAACACAAAAAGAATCAAACGAACAAAAAATTAACTGAACATAATAATTGCCCCGAGTCTTAACATTTTGTAAACAGGAAAGAAGTTTTTGGATACCCCTTTTAAAAAATCTGTTTTCTGATGCACTGTACTACCCAAACGCAGTCTCACACTAAGCGTATTCAGTAAAGTGCCTGTCCCGTAAGAAATTTTTTAAAAATGTGAAAAAATGTTTATCCCATAGAGCAGACTCAGAACTACAAGGCGGTACCTAACCAAAAATTCTCAAATGCGGAGATCCTCTAGAACATACTCTAACAGATGATTCGTAATAAAAATAAAAAATAATTTCTAAAAACTTAATTTTAAAATCAAAAAAATCCAAATTAAAAAAGCGACACTAATTATGACCCGACCTAATAATAATTAATAACATTTTATTCCCTTATAACAATAAGTAAAACCTAACACGAATCCACTTAACCACAAATTACTGTGCAATTGTCTACTGTGCAGATGCCCTCTGTGCAAATGACTTACTGTGCAATTGGATCACTTTGCCCGAGTCGGAGCGCCCTCCTCCTATATTTGTTTTTTCTTCAAACAAAAACCCAAATTTTTGTTTAAAATAATTATTATAATGCAAAAACATTTTAAAGTTGTTAACCCCCAATCAGTTATTGGTTACCCACATGTTTTGGAATATGCACCAAACTGCAGAGATTTTACTCTTCATGCTGTGGAAATTAAATATAATAACAGAAATGTGAACGAACAATTTAAATTTGATTTACCAACAATTGAATGGTAAAATTAAAAAATATAGTCGGACCTCATTTTTAGATGACAACTTGTTTGTAAAAAATCGTATCTTACAATTAGAATGAGGTGTATCTTAAATGTGGAGATTAGTGATGTTCATGAGAAGAAAGAACCTGGGAAATGGGAGTCGGGTCAGGGAATGACCTCTGGAGTCGGGACCAGGGCTGATCGAAATAAAAATATTTTTTATTTCGAATCGAAACGAAATAAAAAAATTCCTATTTCGTTTCGGAGCGAAACGAAACGAAATGAGCTTGTTTCGGACGAAACGAAACGAAATAAACGAAATAAAATAAAAATTAAAAAATTTTTATTTTTCAGTTCATAAAGGCTTTTTATCGATATTTAAATCATAGATATGCACCCCACGAGCTAGATGCGTAACAAAAGCAACCCAGAAAGACGAGTGGGTCCCATAAATCTGCCGATATCCCCATTAATCCCCTTAAATCGACATATATCCGCCTTAATCCTCCGATATCCTATTAAAATCCATCGATATATCCAAATTACTTTGGAGTATACCACTTTAGATATCGATCAAAAGGGACATTAAGAGGGATAAACGAGATATCTTCTATATCCCTTGCGATATCTTGTATATCCCACTCCCAAAACCACCTATATTAACTTAATCCATAAAATCCAAATATACACAAAATCCACCTATATCCCCTTAATCTCGCCAATACCACAATATCACTTTAATCTTGCCAACTCTCACTTAATATCAATAATCCCTCGAGATCTCTTTTAATCCACCGCATAAAATAATAAAAATTTTAGTACAACACCAATTTGGAGTACAACTCCAGCATATTCAAATCTAGGTTTCAAAAATTTTTATTATTTTTAGATCACAGAAATAAAGATTTCGGACTATGGTAGGTTGGGCGACGGAAGGCTGGTCTGCTCTAGCAAAACCTGTAAAAGCTTTCTTCCTTTTTAGCGCCGCAGGCGAAAATTTTTTGAATTTTAGAGCGCAAGAAGCCAAATTTCTCCCATTTTCAGCGCCGCAGGCGAAAATTTTTTAATTTTAGGTGCTCATAAGACAGAAATCACTAAAAAATTAATGATTATTTCAATAAATTCCCGTCATTAGGGGTGCATTTTCTTAATTTTTTTTGTTTCGTTTCGTCCGGAATTTTGGCTATTTCGTTTCGAAACGAAACGAAATAAATTTTTTTCTGTTTCGTTCCGAAACGAAACGAAATGGATAAAAGGGCACGAAAGAGCGAAACGAAACGAAACGAAACGAAATTTCGATCAGCCCTGGTCGGGACTGTGAGGCCAAAAATTCGGGAAAATTTTCCTATTCGGGAGTCGGGATAACCGAACATCACTATAGGAGATATCGTTTATCGTATATTATAATAAGGTGTACATATGTATTACTCGGTGTTAATCAAAAATTTAGTAAAATGTTACATTGAGATCAGTGGTTATTAAGCGACTCCAGCTATGACTCCCGCTCCGACCTTTTTCGAATCGTGTTCCGACCCAAGACACTTCAAAATTCTAGCTCAAATCTATTACTAAGTGAGATATATCGGGTGGATCATAAAATGAGGGTCGGCTGTAATTTTGTAATAATTTTAATTAAATTTACAAATTTTTTAGTTCCTCTACCTTTATATTAACTGAAGGAGAAAATATAAAATGTATTGAATTAAATTCAAAAAAATGTTTTGTGAAACAATTTATGGCTAAAAGAGGATATATTTATTATATTCCTCCAATGCATACAATTCGGTTTCTATCAAATAATGGACTTTATCTTAAAGGATTCCGAACTTTTAGTTTTGAGGTAAAAATATCTTCAATTTATTCAAAAATATTCTCAATGAAACAAACATTTTAAAAGTCCATTTTTAATAAGAATTGACTGTAATTTAATGAAATTAAAAATAAAAATGTTAAAAAAGTAAAAAAAAAGTTAGAATGTAATGTAGGATTTTGAACTTTTAAGCTAAGAAAGTATATTCTCTTGTTATTTTTAGAGTTTAATATTAGAGGTAAGGCAATGCTAAAATCGAATTTTTAGTCGTTTGAAACATACTGTATATCCTGTAATAACTACCCTGGGTAATTATTGTTTCGACCTTCCGCTAGAGTGAGTAATTAATCTAGGGAGGGTAATTATACGGTTTGAAATTTGAACGTATTTTAGGGCATTTGTTGGGGGAGTAATTATTGTTTCAATCTATCGCTGGATGGGGTAATTAATGGAAGTGGGGTAATTATTTGAGGGAGGGTAATTAATATAGGTTATACGGTACATAGTGTTACATACTATGATTTGAAAATTATCCGATTTTACATAATAAACGGTCGAGATTAGAAAATTGTGTCAAAGTTCGAACAAATGAGCGTAGCAATTTTAAAATATATTTTCACTGTAAAAAAATTTTTTTCATCAAATTTACTATTAAATTATTTTCCAATAAAATTAATTTCAGGACGGCCCAGACCATTCCAAAAGAATTTTGTTCAATAATGAAAAAATAAAATCAAATAATATAATTTTAAATAATGATACTTCAATGGATGTTATAAAACAACAAACGACTAAAACCAAACTTATACTTAACCCTTCATTAAATATTTTCGATATTGAAACAGAAATGGATGGATTTCTCTAAATATTTTTAAATAATTTTTGAAAAAAAAATATTTTTTTTTGTCTTTCATTATAATTCTTCCACTGCCTTTTTATATTTTATAATTAAAAAAATTTTTTTGAAAGAATATTTTTTATTTAATTTTAATAACTCTGAAATTAATGTAAAACAGTCAAAAAAAATTTTTTTTTAAATCAGAAAATAAAAATTTTTTATGTGAATTTTTAATTTAATAAAAAATTTTAAAATTATTTCCGAGTACGTTTACCTACTTAACACGTAATGGAAAAATTTATTTTCACATAAGAATGCCATATTTTCTCTATAAATTTAAAAAGAATTTAAGGCGGAATATTCAATTTAATTTGTTTTTTTTATTAAATTTTAAATTTTTTAAAATTAAAGAGGCGTGTCAGAATATCTATTTCTGCCTTTCGAGTTCATAAATTTTTTCCTAGTGCCGCTTCTCAAAATCGAGAGAGAGAGAGAAATCTTCGAGTTCCGATTCCATTTTTTACAATTTCTGATTTCCGACCCTTCCAATTTCCGACAATTTCAGCTGTCCATAACCACCTTCTCTTACCCTCCATACGCCTCTAAAATGAAAAAAAAACATAAAAAAACAACTGAATACATGTTTAAAAAATAAAAAATAAAATAAATTATTTAGAAAATAATTTCATTGCATCTGTCATTTAATTATGTATTTTAATAATTTAATTATTAAACGAAAAATATTATTTATTCAAATATAATTTGAGTAAAATAATTTTAATTTAATTTAAAAAACAACTGACAAATGACAACGGAATTTTTAAATGCCAATTTTTGATTTTTTTTTGTTTAAACTTTTTTATTGTTTAAACTTGTAGGATGGAAAATAATTGAATAAGTTACACAAATAATTCATTAAATATTTTTAAGGGGTCTTACTTCGTTTTACGCTGATTTTCGAGGTGTTAGTAGGAACTTACGGGCTCAATTTTTTATACTATCAATATAGGTATTCATGTTTGCGTGAATTTCTGTAAATGTTTCCTGATGTTTGAAAATGAATATTTTATAAAGTTTTTGTTTAAAATGTTTTTAAACTAATAAATTAGTAAAAATCCATTCAACTTTTGTTAATTATTTATCAAGATTTTTGGAAAATTCGGATCATTTCTACTCAATAAAGAATCTAATAAAGGAGGGACATATATTTTCCGTTCTAGTATATTATACTTATGATTAGGTATAATATGTATCAGGGGTGGAGCTCGTGCCACAAAATACGAGACACGATTTTCACGAGATACGATATTTTCAAAATAATACGAGAACGAGATAAAACAAGATACAAGATCTCTCAAAAAATACGAGATTTCACGAGATACGAGACACGAGATACGAGACTAACGTATTACTGATGAGTATGCTTTGAAAGATTGATATAGTCAGGCATTTGGTGAATATACGTGGATTAGGGAAGATTAGGGGAGATCTCAAAAAATACGAGATTTTCACGAGATACGAGACGAGCTTGACCCCTGGTATATCCTCTTAGTCACTCGATATCCTTTTTAATTCTCACAATTCATTAATATCTCTCGAAATTGATGGATTCCCAATATGCAAGAATATTCAAAACACGCTAGTTCTGTAAATACACAAGTCGAAATATGGAAAAATATGCAATTAGAGCCATGACCTAAATAACTTCGCACGAGCTGTATTAAAGAATATAAATATGCACTTTACTTGTTTCACTCATTTACGTAACCTCGATTATTTTAAATTTTAAAGTAAATAAAAGCAAAGTTAAATTTAATTATATTTAATTAAATTAATCTTTGAAAATAATTTTAGAGTACATTAAAAATATTTTTGTTTATAAAATAAAAAGTCTTACGCCTTAATACAAAATTAATTATAGACTAGAGAATTTTTTATTTAAATAATACTTTTAAATAAAATGTATTAGAATTTTCTTTATTTTTCATTTTTAAATAAGCTGACTATTAGTTAGATAATTTAGAAATAAAGCCAAGTTGGGATAATTAATACAGTCTAACCTTATTATAAGACACACTCTTGACGTTGAAAAAACTGTACATTTATAATGAGTGTTATATGTACATTAAATTGTGGGTGAGTTGCCGTTTCCGAGTCGGGCCGACGGACGAAGTATTTTTAAGCTTGTACGAGTTACTTTGCCTGTACGAGTTACTTTCGGGCCTAACTTTATCGAGTCGGTCATGTACGAGTCTCTTTCGGGCCTAATATCTTAGGCCGGACTCGATCTATCGGTCCGAGTCTGTCCATTTTGGCAACCCTAAAATGTGGGTATCACTTTGGCAGCTCCCTCATCGAGAGGTCAACCAGATTTTAAAAAGCATACACTAAATTGGAGAGTACCTGATTTTGTGTATCCATTGAGGTGGAGCACTCCGACCCTTCGGGGTCGTGAGTATCCGTGATCAGGATTTGCCGGTAAGGAAATGTCGAGGTAATTCAATATCAAACCTAGCTTTCTTCTAAAGTCATTATTTTACTTTTAGATTCATTTTTTGAATAAAATTTTTCTAATTTTTCCTAATCAAAATGACTGACATCTACAACATAAATAATACAGTAAATTATATTTTTTGACAAAAAAATTTTTATTAAATATTTTAAGTTGTACACTACCCATATTAACCCACAATTTTATTCTGATCTTTTCTTACCTGCTTTTATTAAGTGGATAATTTGTTTGCCTGGAATTGTTAACAATTTGGCGTTAATTTGTGTTACTTTTAGAGAAAAGTATTTTTTGTTACTTTATTTATTCCTTATCTGACAGAGTTTAATTGACACCGGTGATGGGCAAGGATTATTTTAAAGCGAAATCGAATACATAAAGAAATTCAAAAGCAACGTAAAAACATAAAACTCCAAAACACTGACTAGGACATTGAACAACCTTAATAAAAACCCTTTGCGAGAATGAAGAAAATCTTTTCTTCGATGTGGATTTAGGTTTGATAGGTGTTTAGGTTTAAGAGGCATTTCAGCTATGTTTATGAGACGGATTGGAGTTTTAGTTTGTCAAGTGTGTGAATTATACTGTCATCCCATATTCCGAATAAAATTTTTGCCCTATTGAATGTATCTCAAACGGAGATATCTGACCGTATAAACAGCATTCTCCACAAAGTTTCTGTCGGAGAGAGGTCGACTTCTATTTTAAATCATATTTTTAAAGATCTCTCCGTGGGCCATGTAACCTTCTGTTAGCATTAGGTGCCCTCTTTGATTTCTTCTATTTGTTTGGTTTTACAATACCTTTTTTACTGGCATTGACAACAATTAATTATATCCCGCTACAAACTTGCTTCTATATTCAGGCAATTCCTTTAATCTCTCTTTTTGCTTCAGTAAATACTGTTTTGTTCGTTGGAATTGATCGTTTGTTAAATGTTATTTTATCTTTAAAGTATACTTTTTTGAAATTTACTTTACTGGCCAATCCATCTGGTCTTGGCCCAATCCATTTTGTACAACCGGATATACATAGTGTTAAGTAGTATAGAAACCTATGAATCCCAGACATAGTTTATGGCTTCGATTAATTGACCTTCTCCTTTACTTAGGTACCCAAGAAGCATAACTATGGTATCTAAAGAATGAACAGTGGGTAGACTTTTTATAGACTGTTTAGGAGAAGCTTATGTTATACCTCCTATCTACGGTACCCCTCATTATAAAGTTCAGCTTTAAGAGGTGGGTACTCCCCGATGTACCGCAAGACCATTGTACCGCCGAGCTATAACTTGGTTCAAAATAATCGAATCCTGGATGTCCTTGTATGGTAAAATTCAGCTTGTCAAGGCGCATCAAACCATACTAAGACTAATTTTGAACGAAGTTACAGCTCGGCGGTACAATTGGGTTTCGGGTCAGGGTTTTTGCCAAAAAAATCGTCGGGATCGGGTCGGGGTTTCGGGTGACGGGGAGCTACCCTAATTTAAGTATTTAATAAATAATTTTAAGATATCATTCAATAAATAAGCCCATTTATTTCACGATTGTTTCTTGTGGAATTCTTGTTTATCCAATTTATGCTTTTTCTTTGTCCATTAATGGAGTTTGGTCACATCCGAATTGGTTAATTTAAATTTATAAAGCAAATTACTAACCTATTTAACCTCTAAAGGTTAGTGATTTGTACAATTACACCTCCTGATCTCTATGCATTTTATACTGGCGCAATTCAATTAAAAACAAATGGAATTTATATGAATTCGGCTTCTTTTATTTGTTATATGTTTGTTTGGTATTTTGTTTGGAGGGCAAAAAAGCAAACTGAAAATAGTATTGGCGTTGCAAGTACGTCAAACCTCTCTATATTATACCCCTCCAATTTAAGACACTTTTTAAATCTTGCCCGGGATTACGAGGAATCTGTTAAAACTGTTTCCCTATTTAATATACCTCTCATTTTTAGATGAGGGTTTTAGCTCATCAAGGAGTGTCTAAAAATGAGGTTCGACTTTATATTAAATATCACTATAATTCCATCAAGATCGACAAGGGAGAGATCTCATGTGGGATTTACTTTTAAGCAGAAAAATGGGATTGCCGGGATCCTGGACGATCTTGGACGATCCTGGACGACGCTGGATCCCTCCGATCACTCCGCTTGATCTCTTGAAACTCAATCCCGTTAGAGGATTATGGTAATGTGATTTTGCCGATCTATATACATAGAATATCTTTAAGATTTTTAAATTACTCATTTTTAAAGACAATCAAAGTCATCGAATTTTTAAATCTGTTCTCTATATAATGTTTTTTGTTGTTGGTACTTGGCTTTTGAATACAATTTATGGGTCATTTATATCCTTTATGTTTACTGATACTTTCTCTACCCAATATGTTGCACCCTCAATTAATTTCTTGACTTGTGTAATCGCTTCTTCTAGCAATGTTTTTATTCTCTTTACTTGCAGGTATTGTTTAAGAAATATTTTTGGGAAAAGTCCGGATAGTTAACGTTGGAAATTATTTGAGAAAAGTCAAAAAGCCGGGATAAACTTGTCAAGTGAAAAACAAAAATATCCGCACGTTAGGTGCTCTACCGATAATATTTTATTATATCAATCATATTCAAGTTGTTAGATACTAGCCTAGATATTAAATCGAAACCAGTGCTTCGAAGCTCGTACCAAAATTCGTACTCGTACCTCGTACTCGTACTCGTACCTGGTACGAAGTACGAGTACGAGTACGAGCAAAAAAATGGAGCAGGTACGAAGTACGAGTACGAGTACGAGGCCAAAAAAAGTGAAAAGTACGAGGTACGAGGCCTAAATCGGAGGATTTATGGCTTCAAAGCCTTCCAAGATTCAAAAACTATCGCATACAACGCTTAAAATTTAAAAATAGATGCCTGGGCTTCAAAAAATCATAAAAATTTTCGATTTTTTGCTTTTTTCTTAAGTACGAGTAAGTACGAGGTACGAGTACGAGGTACGAGGCCAAAAATAGGGGTGGTACGAGGTACGAGTACGAGTACGAGCAAAAAAATGGGGGTGGTACGAGGTACGAGTACGAGTACGAGGCCAAAAAAAGAGGTGGTACGAAGTACGAGTACGAGTACGAGCAAATTTGAAATTTCGAAGCACTGATCGAAACTAATACTGTTAAGACTAACGAGATAGGCCAACGGTAATTCCTTGAATTTTACTGGTAATTATTAGGGATCAGATTTTTAGGTCGTAAAAACCTTCAGATAGGCACCTAAATAGGTTGTAAAAAATGCTAGAATAGGTGACAAAAATAGACAAATATTACCATTATTTTATTATTGCCCTGGGTAATAGAGGTTATACTAGAGGTTATAATAGAGGTTATATGGTAACGAAAAATATTAATAATATCATTTATCTTTTAATTTCAGTTCCGATTATCGCCGAGCATTTAAACATCTTGCTTTAGACCTTCCAATTTTAGGCAAATTGATTAAAGGAATGTATGGGGGTACGACAAGTAATACAGTAAAGCCGACAGTTCAATCAGTAAAGGCGATAATTCATCCAAAACAAAATTTAATGCGAAATCCCGTCCATCCTCAAAATTAAATTATTTTTCGAATAAAGAAAAGAATTGGTGAACAGATGAAAATTATTGAAAAAATAAAAATAATGAATTAAATTGAGTAATTTTCATGAAAAAATGTACTTTATTTTTTCCTAAAATTTTTTTCTCATTTCCCTCACATTTTTGTAAATATTTTTATAAAAATTTTGATGGATAAAGCTGTAAAAATAAATATAATATTCCTTGTCTGTTGGTAATTTTTAATTAATTAGAAAAAAATATTTAAAAGACCACACAACCTATCGTCTATTTAAAATAGTATAAAAGGGAAAATAATTACTAGCTAATTAATTCAAATTAAAATATTCACTTATTCAATATATTCCTAAGAAAATGAACAAATTTATATTAGTCTTGGTTTTCCTCACCGTCTTTTCTTTTTTCGCCACTGTGATGGCATCAACTGAGGATAGTCAAGGTGAAAATAAAAAAAATTAATTTTAAAACTCACTAAAATAAAATTTTTTTAGAGATTCTGGAACGTTCAAAGCGTCAATTTAGCTTTGTGAAAGTGGCACCAAACGGTGCATACAAAAAATTTTTTAAAATCTTTTCAATTTTTAGATGCCATAAGTCGTAAAAAGCGCCAATTTTGGTTCAGTAAAACGGCACCAAAAGGTAGATATATAAAAGTTGTAATCGAATCTGCTCTATCCTTTTTCAGATGTTATAAGTCGTAAAAAACGCCAATTTAAATTGAGGGCAAATAGCAAGAGAGAGGTGAATATTGTTAAATATTTATAGATAAAAGCCTTTAAATTTTAGGCCATTCATGGAGATCAAGCTGACTCTTTTCATGTTTTAGATAAGACATTCAATTAAGAGGTAGTCTATAATCAATAAAAAATATTTATAAGAACTCTTCATTACAACATAAAAAGACCTTTACACATTAAGACCGGGGAAGTGGTTTGAAATTTGCAAAAATAATTCTCGAATACTTTTCCGGTTTAATGGAGTTAACGTTAACTAGTAACTCTTAAAAAAGATTTTCTAACTTTTTTCTAATATTAAGTTTAAAATTTCAGTAAAATGAGCAGACGACAACTGAAACATTTGAAGATAATGACAATATATGAATTAAATTTTAATAAAATAAAAGATAAACATAGTTAATAAGCTCTTATATAAATTGGAAATAAATATTTACAGTAAAATTTTGCATAATATACATTCAGAATTTAATTTTTTTATGGATACATCTCAACTTAGCGCGCGTATTTTGCGACAGATGCGTTAACATGCGTTAACATTATGTTTGCCTTTCGTTGATTTTTTCCTTTTTTTTGATGTTCCGTCTTTTGTCATCCATTTTTCGTTTTTTAAATGAAGACAAAAGTATTGTCACCTAGTTTGTTAGCATATTGCAAACCAAACTTTTTTTCGATATGTCATAACGTTCGTTTTATGTAGGTTTTAAATAATAAATTAATTCACAAAATGTGTATTTATAAAAATATATTTACAGAAATCTGAAAGAAATAAGATAAAAAAACATTTTATGAAAATTCATATCAAATTTACATAATTCATTAATTTTTAATTAATTCTCATCTTTTTAATTCCACTAATTTCTTTATACAAAAAATAAATTCTAATTCTTCGGGTAGACTGCAGTTCGCAAAAAAGTAGGTTTTAAATGAATTGGCGGCTTTACTTGTATAACATTATTTGCACTTGCAGACTCTCCTTTAAATAATTTTCCTACTATTGGAAGGTCAAATGCAAGACGTTTAAAAGCATTGCGATACTTTGAACTAAAGTTAAATATAAGTTAAATAATATTGTTTTTAAATCCCAAGAGTATAATGGATGTCATCTTATATTAGATTGTTATTTTGGTCACTCCAATGATTTCCAAGAGAGTTTTGGAATAAGATTTCAAGCTTTTTAACATCAGAATTTGGCGCTGGTCTAGTTTATAAGTCCAAGCAAACTTTATGAGGCCAATCAAAAAATAATTGGATTTTTTTGGTATTGCAAAGTTGGGTATGGTTCCAAAAGATTTCTTCATGTTCGGGACTTACGCTCACTGAATCTGGACCGTTCCTTACCCTATTCCTCGAAATTTCTGAAAGTTACAATCGTTTTTCCGAGATTTTTAAAATTTGGCTATAACTTTCAGAAATTTCGAGGGATAGGGTAAGGAACGGTCCCAGACTCAGTGGGCGTAAGTCCTGAAATGAAGAAATCTTTTGGAACCATACCCGGACTTTGCAATACTAGAAAACCCCAATTTCTTTTTGATTGGACTCATAAAGTTTGATTGGGAGCATAAACTAGACCAGCGCACAGAATTTTTCTCTAAAACATAAGAAATACCTGCAAGCAAATAGAATAAAAACATTGCTGGAAGAAGCAATTGCACAAGATAGAAAATTAACTGCGGGTGTAATATATTGGGTAGAAAAATTATCGGTTAATACACTCGGTATAAATTTATTCCAAATTGTAAACAAAGTCCAAGTTCCGACAACAAGAAACATTATATAGAGAACAGATTTAAAAATACGATGATTATGATTATCTTTAAAAATAGTAATTTAAGAATTCTTTAGGCTTATTCCCTTATTCCATACTTCCATATTAAAGATATTATATATATTTAAAAAATTTCTAAAAATTAAAAAATTTTAAACGAAAAAGGCAAAACGAATTGCGCATTTGGACCAAAAAGTTCCAACCTAGTTCCAGGCATTCACTAGTTCCGTAGTTCTAGTTCCAAACTAGTTCCAGATAATCGTTAGTTCCGTAGTTCTCGTTCTGGAACTAGAACTAATTAGTTCCGGAACTGGAACTTTGACATCACTGCAACCGACTGTGCCACCATCTAACCTAATGATTACAGGGTGACCCAAAAGAAACCGGGTCCTTTATAACTTCTCTTTTCATATCATTTTTAAACAATTCCAAGTTTATTTTGTAGCTCATTTATTTCTCTATCATATAGTAACCTTATACTTTAACCTTATCTCAAAGTAGAATAGGGAAAATTCTAAAAGATTTTTATATCTTATTCTCCATTTAGTTCTCTATAATTTCATCTTTATTTGATCGCATTATCTTTAAATTGAATAAAGTTATGGCAAAAATAGCGTGCCTGTTATATTCTTTCTGCAAGTGCAGACACAACACGCTCTATTTGGAACTATTAGCGTTGAAAAATAGTAACTTACAGTTATTTATCTAATTCCAAGGATGTCAAAAAAATACTCCAAAAATTGCGGAAATTTTCCAAAATTTCGGAAATCGTAGGGAAAAAACGCGGAAATCGGAATTCCGACCGACCCCCTGATCAGGGTGGAAGGAATAATAATAGTTATTGTCTTTGTTCTGATTTTTCTAGGACATAATCTCGGTCAAGACTAGAGACCGGACCGTACTACGACGGTATTTTTCGATATTTTGCGGTATTTATCTGTATTACAGTCGGTAATACGGTACGGAATACGGTACAGTAAAATTCTGAATTTTATCGGTATTTTTCGGTATTTCAGTAAAGAATACCGTTCAGTGCGAAATTCCGGTCTCTAGTCAAGACACATGCTTTATTAGATGAATATTAATGTAAGGTCCGACGTACTTGTAACATTATTTGCTTTCGAAACAAAATACCAAACGAACAAATAACAAATAAAAGAAGTCAAGTTTATAAAAAAGCCTGTATCAAGTAATTGAGTTGAGTAATAAAAGTTATAGGGCTCAGTTGTAATACAAATTACTAGCCTTAAAAAATTTAAAAAATTTTTGGATTTAAATTAAAACCGATTGTAATTTGACCAAACTCCATCAATAGCCAAAGAAACGGCATAAAATGGATAAGCAAGGATTCCAAAAAGAATAATTGTAAAATAAATGGGTTTATTAATTGTATGATATCTTAAATTAAATGTATTTTAAGGTAGTTAAATTAAGGCTGAATCACTTGTAATATATTATTCCCCTTGGAGCTCAAGTCCAAGTGTGGAGTATCATAAATAGGAGGTATAACCAGGGCTGTCCGCAATTATGGATTGCGTAAATTGCGTGGTTTTTTGGACTTGCGGATTTAAAATTAAAATTGCGGACAGCCCTGGGTATGACATAAGCAGCTTCTCCTACCCAATCTATGAACCCCTGTTCATTCTTTGGATACCACAACTAGGTTTCATAGATACCGGTTAAGAACAAGAAGGAATAGTAGAAGTCCTTTGATACCCTATTATTCGTTCCTATTGTCCTTTGATATCCCCAATTTCCTTATAGTATACCATTTAAAGTAAGAAGGCCAATTAATCCAAGAAACACCTCTCTACGAAAATTTGGGGCAAGGCTGGATAAATTGAGGCAAGGCCCAGGTTAACTAAATTTCAAAAAAAGTATAATATTTACTTTATTGGCAAAATAACATTTAGCAAACGGTCAATTCCAACAAACAAAACAGTATTTACTGAAGCAAAAAGGGAGATTAAAGGAATTGCTTGAATATAGAAGCAAGTTTGTAGCGGGATAAAATTAATTGTTGTCAATGCCAGTAAAAAAGGTATTGTAAAGCCAGATAGATAGAAGAAATCAAAAAGGGCTCCTAATGTCAAAAGAAGGTTACATGGCCCACGGAGAGATCTTTAAAAAAGAAATAATTAAATAAGAGTTGTACTCATGACTTCAATTTACTGCCACTTTTGCGTTAAATCGCGAATTTATACCGGGAGTGGAAATAGGTAATAATAATAATATATATCTGACTTTGTGTATGGTTAAAACATCTTTGATATTCCCAAATCTTGTGATCAAAATAGCTAAAGATATTGGAGGATTTTGATCTACGGTAACTCTTACAGGGTGTTTTGCAGCTTAGAGTCCGTTGCGATTTTTGGCATAAGGACTGAATCTTTCAGGAGAATTAGGCAGGTTTTATCTCGTCTCAAAAATGGTTTCCATAACACGTGATTTTAAATTCAAAGGATTATTTTGAGTAGGTTTGTCATTTAAAACAGAACAGAACCGAACACAACAGAAGTTTCGGTTCGTTTCCTAAGGCACGAAAAATAAATCAAAAATTTGCCTGTGGGTCATGAGTTTTGTTAAAGTTTGGTCCTGAGATTTTAAAAATTTTCAGTCGTAGACAGCTCTAACAAACTGACATCTTTTAGAAATTTTAACTCATGCCCCTTGTATCAAGGGGCATTTAACTCATGCTACCGTAAATGCTGAAATAATTACCCTCTCAAATAATTACCCTTTCAAATAATTACCCTCTCTAATAATTACCCTCTCTAATAATTACACTCTCAAATAATTACCCTCTCTGAAATAATTACCCCCTAGTTATTTTACTCAAACTTTAAAAATATTTAAAGAATTAATATCAAATTTGACTATTGAAACATTTTTAGACTAAATATCAAAAAATAAAACAATTTCACCTCAATTAGATTGAGATATACCCTAAATCCAGCACATCCTCCCTAATAATTACCCCCTCCAGCGAGAGCTTCAAACAATAATTATCCAGGATAATTATTACGATATATCAGATTTACGATATGTTAAATACGTTAAAAGAACAAATTTTATAAAAAAATAATACTTTTCTCTAAAAGTAACACAAATTAACGCCAAATTGTTAACAATTCCGGGCAAACAAATTATCCATTTAATAAAAGCAGGTAAGAAAAGATCGGAATAAAATTGGTGATTAATATGAGTAGTGTACAACTTAAAATATTTATTTAAAAAAATTTTTTTGTCAAAAAATATAATTTACTGTATTATTTATGTTGTAGATGTCAGTCATTTTAATTTAAAAAATTTTTTAGTAAAAGAATTTTATTTCAAAAATGAATCTAAGAATTAAAATAATAAATTAGAAGAAGGCTAAGACCTCGATTATGGACCTCCATATATTCGTACCGGCAACCCCCGATCTCGGATATTCACGACACCAAAGGTCGGCGAGCGACGCTAGTCGCGTCACATTTTTTTAATTTAAAAAATCCAGTATAAGAAGTTTATTTAAAAAGCTGTGCTTTCCTGCTATTGCGTGGCACATTTAAAAATTTTTTAAACCATATTAAAAATGACAACATTTAAACAAAAGTATCAAAGAGGTGTTTTAAATGTAGCAAGGTGTTTGGCTGTAAACCTTTGGATTTAGTGCAAGCTAATGTTGACTAGGTAGCGTGTCATAATTTTTACCGACCTAATATTTTAGCATTATTATAGCTATAAACTTGTCTTTCTCCCTGAAATTTTTTTCAATAATTCGTAAAAATTTACTTAAAACGGGTTTAAAATTAAAATTTAAGAGCAAAAATAATAAAAATGGATTGCGTCATAATTATAGTACCACTTTGAAATTTCAAGTTTCTAACATTAAGAAAAATCTACAAAAATTTGTGCTAATTTGTGCTACCGCTCGACTCAGCTCAGCTCGTCGAGACGAATCGAATGGTATGGGGCTTGTTTCAAAACCTTTCCACCGGTATACTAATCTAAAAATTAAAATGAATTTCTCAAGAAATAGACTTATGTAAGACGTTAATATGTATTATGTATGTGAAATAATATTAATATGTATTTATGAAAAACTTATGTGAAAAAATAATTATCTTATGCACTCGCGTTTAAAAGTAATGCACCAAGTTGTTTTTTGGTGCAAAAAATTTGTTTTGCCCTCAACTTTTTTTTGTTTACATCTTGGATTGTTAAGTTTGGTTTTATAAAAAGGCAATTTAATTTTATATCTTTTGAGAAAAAGATTTAAATTCTAACAAACTGATATAAGAATTTATAACCCTATGAGTAAGTGATATTCGGTTATTACTATGACAATAGTATTGCACCAAAAGTTTTCATTAGAAAATGTGTAAACCTGAAATAAAAAAGCTATTTGCTTATCAAAATTAAATAATTAATTTTTTGTGATGTGAAATATGACAAAAAATAGGGTAAAAGTCGAAATCTGGAAAGTTGAAAAAACGCGAAATAGGTATGAGCAACTTTAAAATAAATTTTGACTAACTTAAGGCTCATAGTACAATTTTCTTTTACACATGCATGAAAGCCCTTAAAATTTGCTATTAAATACTTCAGGTATCATACATATATTAAAAAAAAATTTGAATTGAAGTTAAGGAGGAACGAATTACTAAAAAATTAAAAATGTGTATTTTATAGGATATTTTAAGTGATTTCGGCTCATAATGAAATGGTGAAAACTACTCTATAAATTTTGTTACCCTTATGAAACCAATTGTATTTTATAGCAAATTTTAAGGGCTTTCAGACAAGCATAAAAGAAAATTTTATTAAAAGCTTTATCCAGGTCAGAATACCTTTTGAAGTTACTTACCTCTATTTCCCGTTGATTTTCGGCTTTTCAGATTTTGATTTTTACCTTCTATTTTTCGGCATATTTCACATTTCACATGGTTAATTATTTAATTTTGATAAGCAAAAATCTTTTTTAAATCAAGTTTACACATTAAATCATGATGATAAATTTTTGGTGCAATAGTACTTTTGAACGGGGCCATTTTCACTTTTGTTAGTTTTTATTTTAAAATATTTCTCGGGCTATAAACTTTTTGTTTTGATTTTAAAGGCCACTAATAGTTGTTTAATTATTGCTAACCTAATTGGTTATACTATGTATAATTTATTAATTTTGAATAATTTATAAAAAGTCATGGTTACTTAGCTTGGTGCAATACTTTTGAGCGGCAGTGTACAATTTTCTAATAATTTTTTTTCTTTCGTGTCCGCTACAATTTTTTTGTGTCGATGAAAATCGTAAAAATTTTCAACTTTTATGTGGCAAATTATGTATATTTGTTAAATTATTTTAATTCTTGTTCAAATTGAATTTGGCCGGCCAATTGGCGACTGAACCGCAAAATTTGGTGTTCCCCTTGAAAAAATAAGGGGTGAACGGCTAAAAAATTAACGAAGAGTAAACAGGTACAATTAACGAAAGACAATTCACAGAAAAGTCGCCAAAATTGACGACAACAACATTCCAAACCAATTTATTTACAAACAAACAATATTTACAAAACATCACACAGGAAAATAGGGACAATAAGAATCACACAAGAAAACCGGGGGAAATTACATGAAGATATACAATTATGAAGGGAGAAATGTTTTCCTATATTATCACACATCTCGACGTCATCATCTTCCATCAACCGCTTACATGTTGTACTCGATTGGAAGGTTCTTGCGGCGAACCATACCGTCACCCTGGAACCACTCGCGGCGGAATTGCTTGGCTGCTCCTTCCGGGGTGTTGGTCCATTCGACGGTGACACGGTCGTTGTTGGTCGCTTCAGCAGCCGGATCGAAGGCGTCGCAAGAGATGGCGATGTTGATGGCCTCCTTCGGGTCGAGCACACCGTTGGGCGGGTCCATGTTCAGACGGCGAGGGTTGGTCGTCTTGAAGGCGAAGCCGATACGATGCCCACCAGAGTTGATGATCTGTAAAAGTGAAGAGAGATGTTAATGTTAGAGTAATAAAAAGTTCAGAAACTTCACCTTCATGTAGTAGGTGTGCTTGTCATCGAACGGAGCGTTGAAGATGACCTTCACAGCAGGAAGAGTCGCGATGTCGCCGGGTGGAACAGAAGCCATTGTTGAGAACGGTTTGTTGTCGTTGTTTGTGTAGTTGAACAGAAAGCAGGTTGGGGAACTGGCGTATAACTGGGTTTTTATAGTTTCTCTCTCAAGAATTCTATTCTCGAGGTATAAAAAACCAATAGAACGATAGTCGGTATCAACCAGTTCTCTTCAACTTCAATTCCTGCTACAACAACAAACCGTTCTCAACAATGGCTTCTGTCCCACCCGGCGACATCTGGACAATGCCGGTTTTCGGCATCTTCTTCAACGCGCCGTTCGATGACAAGCACACCTACTACATGAAGGTGAAGTTTCTAAACTTTTATTAATCTAACCACTAATAAACATTTCTCTTCACTTTTACAGATCATCAACTCTGGTGGGCATCGTATCGGCTTCGCCTTCAAGACGAACATCCCTCACCGTCTCAACATGGATCCGCCCAACGGTGTGCTCGACCCGGAGGAAGCCATCGACATCGTCATCTCTTGCGACGCCTTCGATCCGGCTGCGGAAGCGACCAACAACGACCGTGTCACCGTCGAATGGACCAACACCCCGGAAGGAGCAGCCAAGCAATTCCGCCGCGAGTGGTTCCAGGGTGACGGTATGGTGCGCCGCAAGAACCTTCCAATCGGGTACAACATGTAAGCGGTAGATGAAGATGATGACGTCGAGATGTGTGATAATATAGGAAAAATAATTCTCCCTTCATAATTTTATATCTTTATGTAATTTCCCCCGGTTTTCTTGTGTGATTCTTATTGTCCCTATTTTCCTGTGTGATTGTTTGTAAATATTGTTTGTTTGTAAATAAATTGAATTTAAATGTTTTTGTCGTTTTAATCTAACATATCTATGGTTGCATTGCTATAAATATGTAATTATATAATTAAGAACGGTTTGTCCGTTTGTTTGTCTGTCTGTTTGTCCTTTTATAAACAAGTGTGTTTTTATAGTAAAATGATTTGGGGGAGTGAGGAAATGGGTGCTTTTATAGTAAAGCTTTACTAGTTGAATTAGGTTGTGAGGGTAAGAATATAGTATAAAAGCAGGCTAATTTATTCATTCCACAACTGCTAGCGACACATTCCCAACTTTACTGTGCTTTGTTCTACGTCAACATTTGCTGGAGTCCTGTGTCCTCTTGAGTGCTGATCGTCAACGTTCATATGCTAGACGTCAACGTTCATTTGTAAAGTGCTAGACGTCAACGTTCATGAGGGATAGTTAAACAGTGGCATTGTGAAGCAGGCGGAATATTGAAACAGGGGGAATTGTGAAGCAGGAGGAATATTGAACTGGGGAAATGTGAAGCAGGCTAAATATCGAAGAAGAGGGAATTGTGAAGCAGGCGGAATATTGAAACAAGGGGAATTGTGAAGCAGGCGGAATTAAACAGGGGGAATTGTGAAGCAGGCGGAATATTGAAACAAGGGGGATTGGGAAATATTGAAACAGGGAATTGTGAAGCAGGCGGAATATTGGGGAATTGGGGAAATTTAAACAGGGGGAAAAAAACAGGCGGAATATTGAAAAAAGGGGGATTGGGGAAATTTAAACAGGGGGAATTGTGAAGCAGGCGGAATATTGAAGCAGGGGGAATTGTGAAGCAGGCGGAATATTTAAACAGGGGGAATTGTGAAGCAGGCGGAATATTGAAACAAGGGGGATTGGGGAATATTGAAACAGGGGGAATTGTGAAGCAGGCGGAATATTGAAACAAGGGGGATTGGGGAATATTGAAACTGGGGGAATTGTGAAGCAGGCGGAATATTGAAGCAGGGGGAATTGTGAAGCAGGCGGAATATTGAATCAGGGGGAATTGTGAAGCAGGCTGAATATTTAAACAGGGGGAATTGTGAAGCAGGCGGAATATTGAAACAGGGGGAATTGTGAAGCAGGCTGAATATTGAAACAAGGGGAATTGTGAAGCAGGCGGAATATTTAAACAGAGGGAATTGTGAGGCAGGCGGAATATTGGAATAAGGGGAATTGTGGGACAGGCGGAATATTGAAGCAGGGGGAATTGTGAAGCAGGCGGAATATTGAAACAGGGGGAATTGTGAAGCAGGCTGAATATTTAAACAGGGGAATCACGAAGGAGGCGGAATTGTGAGGAGAAAAATAGGTAAGCGAGATGGGTCGGCCGAAGGCTTTTGAATCGGATCTTGAGTTGAATTGTTTTGTTATGCTAGTGGAGTTACACGAGCGCCTGTGTGTATCCTCTCAGGTGCACCTATTAGATGCTTTGCTTTGTTAAATGTTTTGGTAATAAGGAAATGTTTTAATGCCGGTCAATGTTGTGATAATCGGAGTTTTCTTATTATGATTGGATTAGGGCCAATTTTGAGGTTGTGATAAGTTGATTTTGAGTTTGTTTTCTGGTTAGTTTTGTCTTTGCTAGCGGGTGGGGCGGCCGAAGGCCGACCAACTCCGCTAGTGAGTCCAAATTTTAGAATGTTTTATTTTCTCCTCCCTTTAAAATTTGAATAGTGTAAAATACATTTTAACCCTATAGATAGGGTAAAACGACAACCCTGTTCCGAACCAGACATTACCTTTAATCCCAACCAAACGTCCCCTTTAATCACATAAAATTTTCAGATATCCCTCTATATCCCAAATCCAGCAATATCCCTCTTGATATCCCTCAGCTACCTTTGATGTCACGAGTGTTTAATGTCCCGCTATTTCTCAATTTTACAATAACTAGCGGATTTTTCTGAGCAATTTTTACAAAGAAATTTTTTGAATATCCGTGTTTCAGCTGTATACTAGGGCTGTGCTCTATTAGAGACTGTGCTTCAAATAGATACTGTGCTTCTATTAGAGCATTTACGGTATATTTGCACGTTGAAATGGATCAACCGAACTTCTCCGATAAAAAAGCAAAAGAAATAACAAAAATAATAATAAATTTAATCCAACAAATAAAAGAATAATTAATAGAGTTGTTGTCTCTAAAATAACTTTTCCATCACTAACACCATCACGAAGGGAAGAAAATTCTAAAGAGGGGGAATGATGATTATCTGCTCGGCGAGTTGTTGTACGAAGATCACATGCTTCCCTGTCCATCCATCAAAACACAAACATTGTCCTGTACTTGTACAGTCCTTTAAATAAATAAAAGAGTATGTAGGTTTGGACAAAAGATTAAATGGTTCTGAAAAGAAGTCCTAAAGAAAATCCCAAAACTTTTATTTGACAAAACTGGAAATCGAGGCCCAAAATATAAGACTACTATTACCTAGCAATAGGAAATAGATGGAGGGAGGATTTTAAAAATCCTTGATTTAAATCAATTTATGGATCCGTAACTAGATTTAAATAAAATTTTAAATAATAATCTTTAGTGATTCTAGTGATTCTTATTGTCCCTATCTTCCATTGTGATGTTTTGTAAATATTGTTTGTGAATAAGTGATAGTTGTTTTATTGCAATGTCGAGTTAGTACCTTATTTACTTTAACAACTCCAAAATAAAGAAATCTAAATTCAATTCTCTTTTTCATTAGATGGACTCTTTGTCGTTAAAATCACGAGAATCATCAATAGCCATAAACAATGTATTAATATTGTTCTCCTCCTCGAAGTCTTCAACATTCACCAACTATACAAACATTAAATTATCAACAAAATAATAATAATACAGGCATTTTCGGTAACTGTCCAGTTGACTCCCTACATGTCCGCAAAGAGAATGCACACTTTTCTTCCCTTTCTTTGCATTTTTGGCGTTAGGAAAAATGCCCGCTTAAAGGAAAAGTTCTCTTTCATTTTTCTCGCCTTTATGAAAAAAAGAAGAGAAAATAAAAAAATTTATTAAACTACTGTATATAGCGATGAATGGCGATCAAAACAGGAATGTCATGTCGAGTTTCGGATTGGGGTTCTGTTCGAAAAAAAGACCTGATATCGGTTCGGTTAATTCAGTTATTTTTCTTTATTTTTCCATTATTTAGTGCCGTAAATAGGTAAAGTTAGATCACCTGCTTCTAGAAAAATTCATCCTTGTCTTGATCAATTAGGTTATGAACTTATACCCCCATTAAATGCTGTTATCCCACTGATCTTTTTACTGATCTTTTAGGCTCCCTTTATTATTCGCGCCAATCTTTCAATCTAGGTATTAGTTTATAACCTAAGGAAAATTATGGTGGAGGAAAAGAGAAGAATGCATCAAAAATTCATTTTGCAGTCATTTGTGTGGGTATGTGGAAGACGAGCGGAATATTTACGGCTATTATAAAAATTGGAAATAAATATTTAATGTAAAATTTTGCATAATATATTCTGAATTTTAATTTATTTTTATGGATACACCTCAAACTAGCACGCGCATCATGCGCAGACGGGCTTTCATAATAGTGGTGTGTTTATTGAAATATTTATTCTATATTATTTCTATTTTATAAAATGCCAATATAGGACCAATCAGTATGATACCAAATTTTATATAAATAGACATTGATTATGTAATTTGTTTATAAAATAGAACGAATTCTTTGTTCAATTTAATAATTCTTTATTCATGTAAGGAAAAAGGCGGGGATTTAAGATATTATTTTAACAAGGTTTAAGATCTATTAAAAGAGGAGGCGAGTTCAGTCAGTAGAACACCCGTACTTGGTAAGCGGTAGCTCCTAAAAAAACAAAAAAATTAATTCAAAACAAAAATTAATTCACTCAAAAATAATTTAATAAAAACAAAATTTTAATCACTCAAAAAAATTAAATTCAAACCAAAAATTTTTTTTCATTATCTCCGCAATTCTTTTCCTCCATTTTAGTTTAATGATCCTAAACGTATTTTTAAGTAAGAAAACCCTCGTTAAAATAGGAAAATGTATAGAATACGGACCACAAATGAGCTCGCAGCTAAGGCTGAGATATGTGGCTCGAAGTGGTCAAAAAATTACGGGGTTCGAAATGGCAAGAGCCAATTAAGTATATTAAATATATATGTCATTCGAGAGAGCTCACGAGTTGAGTCATATGACAGAAAAATCACCATGATTAAACTAGCTTAGACAAAGTTACAAAGAAAAATAAACCAAAAAATATATTAGAATGCCCCTCAAAATTTTGTTAACCTCGACTCAACTCGTCCCCCCTTTCTGATATATATTTTGTCCACTTTCCTTTGTGGTTCGTATGCTATATACTTAACATTAATACCTCAACACCACCAAATATAAAATGAAAAACATCCCCATTATTATGCATGTGTACATGTGGCCCAGATTGGTACACGTAGACCTTCCAGTCTTCCCAAAAAATAATTTTCAAACGGGCCGCACATCCTTCATTCTAAAAAAATATTTTTAATGTACAAGGCCGAAAAAAAGTAAGTTGTAGCACCCTACTTTTCAATATTTTATGTAATGTTCGATTTTCTAAAAAAATTTGTTACGAATTATAAAGGGCCAGGGGATAAACAATATCTAATAATGAAACGAGTTTTCTAGTTTACAGCCGTTGGATTATTTAACTTTTTCAAAATAAGGATGTTCCAAAATTATAACCGTACTCTGATTTATCTCAGAGAGAAAAATCCACAAAAATTTTTTCTGAACATATCTATTAATAAATGTAGATAAGTAATAAAAAATGAAATACAAAAGAAACCCCGCTAATCAAGGTAAACAAGGGGTAAATGTCCTTTAAAATTATTTTCAACCCTCATAAATACGAAAGTTCAAGAAACCCGAAATTATAAAAAAATTACCGCGCAGCCATACAACACAACCTCACTTCGTTCATTAAAATAAGTAAATCTAGGGGCCCAAATATTATTGATATTTTCTTCCTCCTCCCATTCATCAAAATCAGCTCTAGTTGAAAATCTGTGCAGGATTTGGTAACGCATCTAATAGTTAAAGAAAATGATTTTAAAGAAAAATGGATGAGAAATTAAAGGTAGAATTGACAAATTACAAAGCATAGTAAAATAAAACTAAAATACATCTGTAAAATATTAAATAAATAAAATCTAAAGATGTACATAATCGAGCCTCAAAGTTATTACCATTAATACTTCCAAACGCCCAAATAAATAACGAAAAACTGCTCCCTCCACATGCATATGAACATGTTCCCCCGCCAGATGCACTTCAACTGACCAATCATCCAAAAATAGTAATTTCATTCTGGCGGCACAACCTTCATCCTAATAAAAATTATTTTATGTCGAATATTTTAAAAATTATTTTTAAACTTTAAAAATTATTTTACCCCTCATAATAAGTTCAAGGAACCCGAAATTATAAAAAAATTACAGCGCAGCCATATAGCACCACCTCGCTACGTTCATTGAAGTAAGTAAAACCCCCCAGATATTGTTAATATTTGCCTCAATTTCCCATTCATCAAAAGCTCTTGTTGAAAATTTGTGGAGTATTTGGTAACGCATCTTATAGTTAAAGAAAAAGATTTTAAATTAAAAAACGACTAAAGAATTGAAGAATAAAATTGAAAAATACTACTACTGGAAAATACTACTACTTCAATTTTATTCTTCAATTCTTTAGTCGTTTTTTAATTTAAAATCTTTTTCTTTAACTATAAGATGCGTTACCAAATACTCCACAAATTTTCAACAAGAGCTTTTGATGAATGGGAAATTGAGGCAAATATTAACAATATCTGGGCGCCCCGTTTTACTTACTTCAATGAACGTAGCGAGGTGGTGCTATATGGCTGCGCTGTAATTTTTTTATAATTTCGGGTTCCTTGAACTTATTATGAGGGGTAAAATAATTTTTAAAGTTTAAAAATAATTTTTAAAATATTCGACATAAAATAATTTTTATTAGGATGAAGGTTGTGCCGCCAGAATGAAATTACTATTTTTGGATGATTGGTCAGTTGAAGTGCATCTGGCGGGGGAACATGTTCATATGCATGTGGAGGGAGCAGTTTTTCGTTATTTATTTGGGCGTTTGGAAGTATTAATGGTAATAACTTTGAGGCTCGATTATGTACATCTTTAGATTTTATTTATTTAATATTTTACAGATGTATTTTAGTTTTATTTTACTATGCTTTGTAATTTGTCAATTCTACCTTTAATTTCTCATCCATTTTTCTTTAAAATCATTTTCTTTAACTATTAGATGCGTTACCAAATCCTGCACAGATTTTCAACTAGAGCTGATTTTGATGAATGGGAGGAGGAAGAAAATATCAATAATATTTGGGCCCCTAGATTTACTTATTTTAATGAACGAAGTGAGGTTGTGTTGTATGGCTGCGCGGTAATTTTTTTATAATTTCGGGTTTCTTGAACTTTCGTATTTATGAGGGTTGAAAATAATTTTAAAGGACATTTACCCCTTGTTTACCTTGATTAGCGGGGTTTCTTTTGTATTTCATTTTTTATTACTTATCTACATTTATTAATAGATATGTTCAGAAAAAATTTTTGTGGATTTTTCTCTCTGAGATAAATCAGAGTACGGTTATAATTTTGGAACATCCTTATTTTGAAAAAGTTAAATAATCCAACGGCTGTAAACTAGAAAACTCGTTTCATTATTAGATATTGTTTATCCCCTGGCCCTTTATAATTCGTAACAAATTTTTTTAGAAAATCGAACATTACATAAAATATTGAAAAGTAGGGTGCTACAACTTACTTTTTTTCGGCCTTGTACATTAAAAATATTTTTTAGAATGAAGGATGTGCGGCCCGTTTGAAAATTATTTTTTGGGAAGACTGGAAGGTCTACGTGTACCAATCTGGGCCACATGTACACATGCATAATAATGGGGATGTTTTTCATTTTATATTTGGTGGTGTTGAGGTATTAATGTTAAGTATATAGCATACGAACCACAAAGGAAAGTGGACAAAATATATATCAGAAAGGGGGGACGAGTTGAGTCGAGGTTAACAAAATTTTGAGGGGCATTCTAATATATTTTTTGGTTTATTTTTCTTTGTAACTTTGTCTAAGCTAGTTTAATCATGGTGATTTTTCTGTCATATGACTCAACTCGTGAGCTCTCTCGAATGACATATATATTTAATATACTTAATTGGCTCTTGCCATTTCGAACCCCGTAATTTTTTGACCACTTCGAGCCACATATCTCAGCCTTAGCTGCGAGCTCATTTGTGGTCCGTATTCTATACATTTTCCTATTTTAACGAGGGTTTTCTTACTTAAAAATACGTTTAGGATCATTAAACTAAAATGGAGGAAAAGAATTGCGGAGATAATGAAAAAAAATTTTTGGTTTGAATTTAATTTTTTTGAGTGATTAAAATTTTGTTTTTATTAAATTATTTTTGAGTGAATTAATTTTTGTTTTGAATTAATTTTTTTGTTTTTTTAGGAGCTACCGCTTACCAAGTACGGGTGTTCTACTGACTGAACTCGCCTCCTCTTTTAATAGATCTTAAACCTTGTTAATACAATATCCTAAATCCCCGTCTAATAATAATTACAAATTATCAGTTAAAATATACATAAAATACAAACATTGTGTCACAATATGTGGAAATATGTATAATTAATGATCCCCTTTTTTCTTGGAAAATAGGCACAATTTTTCAAATCCCAGTTTTACAAAAAAAATTTTTTTCAAGTCTTATCTTCAACTCCAAAAGCATAAGCAATTTGTGTTAGACTAGCATAAGTACCAGTTACAAGTCCCAAAACTCCAAACCCGAATAGAAAAATATTTTTAATCCAAATTCCCCTTGTCAATTTCATTTGGCTGTAACTTTAATTTAAAAAAATTTTTTTAAGAAAAAAATTATTTTATTTTTACTTGCAGAGAAGGTCAATCATTGCTGGAAAAATTAATGCTAATGCAGTTCCGGCAAATGCTCCAACAAGTGAAATAAAAAGTCCCAAATGAGGAATTAATTCTGCAATTAGGCCTTAAATTATAAAAAAATTTTTAATAATTAGAAAAAAATTTTTTTGGTTATATTAAAATTGCGGATACCCTACTATATTTTCGGACGTTAGCGGTATACTCATATATTATCTAGGAATTATTTTTTTAATAAACTATCAGAGTAAAAAAATTAATTTCGCTAATATAGGCACGTAAAATATCGATCCGCAAAATTAGTCCGCAAAGAAATGCGCAAAAAATCTTGAAAAATAGTACGCAAGAAGGAATCCGCAAAAAATGATTTTTGGTCGAAAATTTTTTAAGGAAATAAAGTTCGCGACTAGGGTTGGGGGGGGCAATCCAGCCTGGCCCTAAAGATCGAGTCGGGCATTGAATTATGGCCCGAAAAAGACTCACAAGGGAACATATGTTACTGTGAGTATGAATGTATAAATTTTTTGGTACCATGCGAAAGAGGACCCTCGATTTACTATTGTAGTTTGCGGGTTTTCTTGCAAAATTAGTTTGGGCCGAGTTATGGCCGTTCAAAGTTTCAGTCCTTGGGATTGATTGAGTATAAGCAAGAGGGAAAATAAGCGCGCTATAATGATGAGGAAAAAAGAATGCAAGAGTCGCGAGGAGAAAAGAAGAGAGAAAATGTCAGACACAATAAACAAAGAGAAGGGGCATGGCTTGTTCTTTGAGTATGAAAAATAAGAGAGAAATTGTTTTCTTACCCTATAACTCCTGACTCTAGCGGTCAACTTTGAACGGCCATAACTCGGCCCAAACTAATTTTGCAAGAAAACCCGCACATAACAATAGTAAATCGAGGGTCCTCTATCGAATGGTACCAGAAAATTTATCAAATTCGTACTCACAGTAACATATGTTCCCTTGCCAGACGGGCCAGCCCTAAAAATGACTCGGAAAAATACGGCCCGACTCGAAAACCCTAGCCTTATTCAAGTCATTCAAATTCTAATTAAAATAAATTTGTGAAAAAAATAAAATTCTTACATGTCAGAATAACCATAGAATAACGCAAAATATACACAATTGGATTTTGCCATTCAATCGGAATTTTTCGAGAAACCCATTTCTCTACACGTTCCATTGGGACTTTAAAAAAATGTTTAAAAATATTTTTTAAAAAATTTAAAAAAACCATAGAATTGAAGAGGATAGGAAACAAGAATGCAACCAACAAGCATTATTTTAATAACTTGATAGAAACTAGAAAAAAAATTAAAATTAAAGTGCAGAAAATTTTGTCCGCAAAAATTTGCGGACAAAAATTATTTACTGATGGGAAATTTATCTGTGACAACTTGGTATTAGGATTGGTCCCGACCCATTTGGAAAACTTTTTTGAGAATTTAAGAGAAATCCAGACCTTCTAGATTGAGGCTAAAAATCAACAGGCATCACGGAGAGGAAAACTAACCCTAAAAGCTATTATTCGTCAAAAATGAATAATCAGAACCGTGTTCAAAATAAAAAAAATAATCCAAAATTTTGTACATAAAAAAGATCGGAAATCGAAATTTAGGGGCAATTCAATTCTAAAAATTTTGTCCGCAAAAAGTTGCGGACAAATTAAAAAGTTGCGGACAATTGTCAAAGAATCGAGTCCCTTCCTTACCCATACATTTTATCCGCAGAATTCAATCCGCAAATTATTAAAAATTAAAAAAACTTCTCTTACGGTTCATTTGGCAAATTAAGAGTAACAGTGTCTTTAACATGACTTCCAAAAGCCAAATATCCATAAAATCCAGTTGTAGCATATACAGCCAAAACAATAAAGCAAGCTGTGTTTAAAACACCATTGGCAGCAATAAAGTCAACAGGATTAATTAATTTATTTTCAATTGGTAAAACCTGTGAAAAAATTTTTTTTGAAAAATTTTGGGAAAAAATTTAATATTCGATTTCGAAATTTTTTTCTGGAATTTTTAAAAATTTTCACAATTGAAAAAACTAATAAAAATTTTTAGAATTTTTTGAAAATATTTTCGAAATTGCCTTATCCATTTTTCAATTGAAAATTATTTAAAAATTCCAAAAATTTTTTTTTGAAATTTTGATAAAATTTTACCACAGCAACACCCTCAAATGCAAACATAACAGTCCCAAAGAAGAGAGGTAATTCAGTCAAATTCCCAACTGCTGGTGCATCCTTTATTGGAATCAAATGGGTAACCAAATAGGCAACAATAATTGCAACAGCAGCCAAATAAAAAATATTGGCAATTAAAGCTAATGGGGCCAACATTTTTAATTGACGAATTGTGCATAAACTTAAAAAAATTAAAAAAATTTTTTTAATTTATTAATTTTGAAAAAAGAAATGTATAGGAAAAATGACTAAAAATTATTAGAGTAAACTAACGAGAAAACCCCTAAGAATAATAGTTTAACAAAGAAACCCCTTATTTTTAGTTAGACTGGAAATTTTAGGGGAGTGTAAAAAACTGATTACATTTTTTATAATGATAATTATTAAATTATCATTACATTTGAATATTTATTAATATTATTAAATATTTTTAAATATTAATTTTTATAAATTTATTTTTAATCTTTAATCTTAAAATTTATTTTTATTTATAAATTTTTTAGTTTTTCTCTTTTAATGCAGCTGCGCAAAAGAACAAAAGATGTTTACTGTTAGAAAATTTTGTGACAGCTTTTTGATATTTTCCTTCGCTTTTTAAATTCATTCTATTAATTTTCTACAACTTTTAAATTTATAAATAAAATAAATATTTTTTATTTTTTTTTTATTGTTTTTAATAAAGTTATTTAAACTTTATAAATTTTTTGGAGAAAGTCTAAATTGGTTTTAGACTTTTATTAACAACATTTATTTTTCGTTGTTCGCGGCCCCCTTTTTTCTTTAGTGGCGACCAACGCTAAAAGAAAGAACGCTGTGGTCTTCTAGTGGACTGATTTTTGGATTTCATCAATCCTGCTAATAAGCGGACCATATTGGGCAGATAAGTTTAAAAACAAAATTCTTTTTAACAAATATTAATTTGTATATAAAACGTAAATAATTTTAAAACAAATATTAATTGAAAATTTGTTAATAGGTTTAAAAACAACGTTTATTTAATTTTTTAGAAAAATTTCGATTTTAAATATAAATTAAATTTTGTTTAAATCATTTTATTAATTTTAGACTAGATAACAGAATAAGTCCTCATTTTCATTTCCCTTTTTTCCCCATTTTCATTCCCCCCCCCCCCAAATTTTCTCACATTCCAATTTGAATTTTATTTAAAGTTTTTTTATTATAGAATTGAAAAATTTATTAAAATTTTCATTTCGTTCGTTTATAATATTTTTTTTATTCCCCGCCCTTTAATTTTTTGATTAAAATTTCATTTCAAAGGAATTTATTAAAATTATAATTTTTTTCAAGAAAGATGGAAAGAATTGTAGTAAGGTATCGCGATAGAGAAATGAAGTATAGGGGAAGAGGTTACAATCCGGCAACCCCAAGCCGTATAGTTGAATATTCGCTTAACGAGTTCCAACCCGAAGAATCCTTTGATTTTATTTATCTATTGAGAGATTGTAATGACCCGAATATTATAGGAATTGATCAAACAGATAATGCTCTTATTAAAGAGTCGGTACGATTTCCATTAAACTTTAGATCAAGAGTAATTAATAAATGTAAAATAAGATCCAGAGTGATTAAGTCGAAAGAGATAAAAGAAAAAATCTCCTATTTAGGAGAAAAAGCTGAAAATGAGAGAAAAAAGGAGAATATAGAATGCACAACAAAAAATGAAACCAAAGACAAAACTATTGAGTTTTGTGAGTTTTGGTCAAAACTGGAACAATCGCCGGAATTATACAAAGATCTGGAAACCAAAACTGATGAAAATAAACAAATTGAAATAGGTCGCGATAACAAACTTCCTATTAAGGAAGAAAATTTAAAAGATTTAGTAAAAAATGACAAAACTATTGAGTTTTTGCCAAATTCGGAACTAACACAGGAATTTCAGAAAGACCCGGGACTGAATGGTGAAACCTTTAAAGAAAATAAACAGGTATTATTTATCGAGAATGAAAGTCTTCCTATTAATGAAAAATTTCCCATAGATACTCAGAAAAATCGGATTAGACAAAAAGAATGAGATGCAATTTTTAAAACGACCCAATATAAAGATTAAACTGTTAGAGTTGTTTCGAAAACCTCACGGACTCCCCGAGCCGAGAAGAGCTTCATCGAAGGGGGGAGGGTTGCATCTCGAATTACTAGATAAGACTCCTATTAAGGAGGTATTTCACTCAGAGATTAAACTATCCAGTAATTTAGAGATGCAATTCTTAAAACACACTCAAACTCATTATACTCCCAAGCATGGAGCTTCATCGAAGAGGGAAAGGTTGCATCTCGGATTACTTGATAGAGTTAAAAAGTGGTTTAATTTAATGAGAGTCGGAGCTAAAAGAATAAGAAAGCATGTAAAATTTAAGAAAAAAGATGAGACAAATTCTGAAAATAGAACCCGGACCAAGGACTAGGAACAGCTAGAAAAAAATTGATGTATGAGAATTTAAAGATCAAGAACTAAAATTTCCTATTAAGGAATCAAGCTAAAAAATAAATTTATTTTTTATTTATAAAATTTCTGTTCATTCTTTTAATTTTGTTGGTGTGGAATGTAAAAAACTGATTACATTTTTTATAATGATAATTATTAAATTATCATTACATTTGAATATTTATTAATATTATTAAATATTTTTAAATATTAATTTTTATAAATTTATTTTTAATCTTTAATCTTAAAATTTATTTTTATTTATAAATTTTTTAGTTTTTCTCTTTTAATGCAGCTGCGCAAAAGAACAAAAGATGTTTACTGTTAGAAAATTTTGTGACAGCTTTTTGATATTTTCCTTCGCTTTTTAAATTCATTCTATTAATTTTCTACAACTTTTAAATTTATAAATAAAATAAATATTTTTTATTTTTTTTTTATTGTTTTTAATAAAGTTATTTAAACTTTATAAATTTTTTGGAGAAAGTCTAAATTGGTTTTAGACTTTTATTAACAACATTTATTTTTCGTTGTTCGCGGCCCCCTTTTTTCTTTAGGAGAATGAAGTGAAAGTTCTTAAAAAAAGTCTTCGCTTTCGATTTTTGACCTAAGAATTGTAAAATACCTATTTTTTGGTATGATCCCGGAATACTAAAACATCTAAAACCAAACAAACAAAAAACGCCAAATACCAAACCAACAAGAGCCGTCGATATACCAAAACTGTGTAAATGAATTGATAAATAAATCCCAAATTAATCAAAACCTTCCCCATTGATAGAACAACCTTTCAACAATTTTTTTTAAAAGTTTGATATTTCGGCGGCTCTTGGGGGTTTAGTACTCCACGTTTTGTCCCCAAAAGAAATTAAAAAATAATTTAAAAAATACCCCAAAGTAGGAACTAACAGCATCGCAATCCATCCAGCCTGGGATATATGGATACATGAAGTTTCGTCAAAGAACTTTAAAAATTAAATTAAAAATTACTTTTCCATCAAATTTTAGAAGAAAACCTGTTTTAAATTATCAGCCATGAATACAAAATAAACACAACAAAATCCAAGTTGCGCAATAAACATTGTACTGTTGACTAATTGTCTTAAAATTAAACAAAAAATTTAAAAATAATTTCTAAAAAAATACTTAAAGAAATATCCACGTTGATTAATCCATGGAGGTCCACATTCAATTGCATTTCTCATAACTAGAAAAAAATGAATTAAATATTTTTTGTAAATTTCAGGGAATTGAAAAGGACTTGAAAAAAAGACTCGGATTTACTATACTAATTGTTAAAATTAGAGAACGGTGAGGGGCTAGCTTCCAATGGGAAATTTAGGCAGACTGAATCCGAGACGCTTTGGTATGGTTCGATGGAGCTGAAATCGAAGGGCGTTGCTGATTCAATCATTTTGGACGAAATTATAGGTCTGCGGTACATTAACCGCTTTCAAAGGAGAATACCTAGGAAGGTTATCGACAAAATGCATGCGAGGGCATTGCTTTCCCCAATTCTTAATTAAAAATTTCTCTAAATAAATAAACCGTTTCCATAGTCCATAATTTCTTGTCGCTTTCGATTGCATAGAAATACAGAAGAATGAACCAAATTTCGACAGCAGTATGTACAAACACCGCAAATAATGATGAGAAGAAAAAGTCCTAACTTTAATAATAAAAAAGATTATTTTAAAAATAGATTAAGAATCGGAGTCCCAAAACTTTTCTTAGCCCAAAGATAATTTTCCTTCATTTTAGAACCTTTCATAAAATTTTAAAATTAATTTTAGAATCCCGTTTAGACGACTACTGTTCGGCACGATATATACCTGTATTTATTCAGGTACACCGAAAAAGGCCATTTACCGAACACTAAAAATAACTTAATCCAAATGTTTTCACGAAAACCAATATAACTTCCAAATAGGAAGTCGGGGGTTACCCCAACCGAATCGTACCAAAAAATTCAATAGATTCCTTGTCACAATAAATAAAGTTCCCCCGTAAGCAAAAATTAATTTTTGTGATGAACCGAAGGAAATTTATGGGTCTACTACCTTGATAAAAATCCTAATTTCTTAAAGATAAAAAAATATAAAAATAAACCCAAAGTCCAGAATGTTTAAAAGCCAACGGCAACGACAAAAGTCCAGTTCCAAGCATAACCTTTTTAAATTTAAAAAATAAATTTTTCGAGAAAATATCAAAACAAAACCTTAACCAAACTGAAAAGTGCCTGATCCGGAGACATTGTAAAAGCAGTCCGCGGGCGTTCACTGAAGAGCATTTCATGGCTAATTGTTGGGTCTATATTCATTCTGAAAAAAATAAAAAATTAATTTTTAATTTTAAGAGCTGGACAAGCTAGTTAAATAAACACATTTTTCTCCTTTTTCCCTTCAAATCAGATCTCTAGTCTTCCATTTTTAGGTTTCACTAAACCCCAAAAATAAAGGGCCCAAAACGGCGCGTGACCATGACGGCGCAAAGCCATAACTAGCTGGAAAATTTCTGGTCCTTGTCATATTTGGTATCATTCTCTTTAGCTCGATGAGTGGAATCGTTTTATACTAAATTTGGTAAGATTCGAAAATCTTGAAGCAAGTTATGGCTAGGCGCCGTTATGGCAGCGCGCCGTTTCGGGCGTGTCCCAGGTTTTTTGTAAGGAATTTTTAAAAAATTAAGAATTTTCTGAATTTAGCGATTTTCTGATTTTCCGAAAATTTCTCCATAAAATTGCAAAATTTTCAGTTTTAGACCTCCCAATTTTGCCCGACCCCATTTTTATCGTTAAAAGAGAAAAATGTTTATTTTAACTAAAAGTGCATTTTAATACAAATAAAAGATAAAATAAATAAATGATAAAAAATATTTTATGAGAAAGGAGAAGAATACAAAAATGATTTTTGTAATGATTTTAAAATAAATTTATATTTAAAGAAATGCACCTTAAAAAAGACTAAGAGCTAAATAAACTAGAAACTTAAAAATGTTAGCAGGGACACGCCCTCCTTGTCGCGGGCCACCTTGTCGCGACCACTTTGTCGCAGGCCACCTTGTCGCAGGCCCACCTTGTCGCAGGCCACTTTGTCGCAAAGGGTGAAAAATTTTTATGCTGATATGGAGAGTAGGAAAAGGCATTCTGGGCACGATCGGGGTTTTCTGGAGTAATCTGGTTCAGTTTTACTCTGTCACAAACTCCGGCAGAATTTACCCGGATAAGAGAAAATAATAAAAGGAAAAAACACTTAAAAACTTTATCAAAAAAATTAAAAAAACCATTGTCGCGCTTCACTAATTAAATTTGTGACCCTAATCAGAGCAGTTTGGGTTTGTTTTTCTTGTCGGCGTGTTCCTAATTTCAACACCTTCGTTCCTTCAGAAACTTCTAACTTGAAAATTGCCAGTCAGAAACTGACGGAAATCAACAAAAAAATTAAAAAAAGAAACAAAAATTCTAAACCTTTTCAAATTCCCATTGTTGTAGCCGTGGGATGAAGTACGGCACGTGGTGAGCAAAGTTTAAGCCAAACTTAAAAGAAAAATCAAAGGAAGGCTTGCGACAAAGTGGCCTGCGACAAGGTGGGCCTGCGACAAGGTGGCCTGCGACAAAGTGGTCGCGACAAGGTGGTCGCGACAAGGTGGCCCGCGACAAGGTGGGCCGTACCCATGTTAGCATTAGTCATACAAAGGAAAAGCCCCCCGTTATAAAGAAATCAATAAATAATTAAAAATTCGATTAAAGTCAGACCTTATTTGGGTTAGTGGTCGGCAAAATCGCGTTTGCGGGATCCCACGGGATAAAATTTTTTTAAAAACCTTTGCGGGACGGGATCCCGCGGGATAAATCCCGCATTCCCGTAAAATCCCGCAAATTGAAAAAAGTGCGGGATTGCGGGACGGGATCCCGCAAAATCCCGCGCCGACCTCTAATTTGGGGGGTATACGTATCAGGGATGAATGCAATTGCGGATTGCGTTTTTTGACTTGCGGATTTTAAAATTAAGATTGCGTGTTGCAGATTACGGCTACGGAAGTTTTTTTTCAATTGCGTCCATCTTTGATAACTCGGAACATTATAAAACTCTACCAAACAAAACTACAACTAAAACATATGGAAGCTTTTTATATTGACAGTAAGAGAGAAAAGACGAGAACACAATCGATAACTATAAATCCCACACACACAGGTATCACGACTTTTGCGCCGAGAACATTTGCGCCGCGACTTATGCGCCGCGACTTTTGCGCCGCGACTCTTGCGCCGCGACTTTTGCGCCGGGCGACTTATGCGCCGCGACATTTGCGCCGCCATTGTTTAGAAAATCCGGATCCGAAAAATGCCGGATATCCGAAATTTTCAGTTTGGATATCAGATCCGAAGATTTCCAACTATTCGAAAACCCTACTAAAGTGAGGTCCGGCTGTAGTTATTGATATATTTTTAATGATAGTGGCGGCGCAAAAGTCCCCCGGCGCAAAAGTCGCGGCGCAAAAGTCCCCCGGCGCAAAAGTCGCTCGGCGCATAAGTCGCGGCGCAAAAGTCGCGGCGCATAAGTCGCGGCGCAAATGTTCTCGGCGCAAAAGTCACGGAACCCACACACACACTCACTAGTCAAAAAGGGACATTCACAAATTTAATTTCGAAAAAATTTTTTAAATTACAAGGGTAACTTAAGTTGAAAAATTTCAAAAAAAAATTTCAAAAAAAATTTTTTTTTAATTTTTCTCTCAAAAAAAAACTCACGGTGTAGTATTAGACACACCGGACATTGCACTTTCTGTTTCTGGGTCAGGATATTTGTTTTGCATTGAAGTTCAATTAAGGTTAAATACAAGTTAAATAAGTTAATATTTAGGGAGGGGGTTATCTAAAATATGTAGAATTAAATTGATATAAAAGTACACAAAAAGTTGATAGAAATACTAGAAAAAATGCCTGAAAAGTGTTTGAGAAACAGAAGGGTGCCGAAAAAAATTTAAAAAAGCGAAGCATGAAGGGCGAAAGACGTAGCGCCAAAAAAGGCGAAAATTCTGCGAAAGATAAAAGGCGAAAGGGCGAAAAACTAGTGCTTCACCGGAACCGAAATTTTGACCGGAACCGGATCCAATTTGAGGTCCGGATCCTGGAACCAAAGAGACGGCGGAACTTTCCGGAATCGGAAATTCCAAAAAAACTCTAGCGAAGACACCCCCTTGTTGAGAATAATATTTTTAATTAAATTTAAGGACAGCACATCCTTTCTGCCCACATTTATCGAAAAAAATTAATTTATTGAATAATGAACCATAAGTTGTAAATTTTCTCAATTTATAACCTCAAAAAAAGGTAAATGACCAATATACAAATTTGAGCAAAAGAAAAAATAAAAAAATATTATGCAAAAGAAAAAATACAAAAATATTAAATGTGCACTACTTTTGTTTTTGAAAAAACAAAATTTTTCTTATCTTTTCTAATCATCTCATAAAATTTATTTTTTTTGCCCCTTTCATTTGTTTCAGAAATTAATTTGATAATAAAAATTAGAGATGTATGATAAAAATTTTTTTAATAAACGAGAAAATTAAATTTCAACGGACACAAGGTATACCTACTAGGGTTTCACCGGAAGTTCCGGTTCCGGTTCCGGAAAGTTCCGGTGTTTTTTTGGTTCCGGTTCCGGTTCCGGGAACCGGAACTCAAATTGGTTCCGGTTCCGGCTCCGGTTTACAAATCGGTTCCGGCCAAACCGGAACTTTTTTACACCACTAAGGATTGGTTTTTTAAAAATTAATGAACTACTCGTACTCTCATACTTGGTATTAAAAGAAAAATCGAAAAAAATATGTTTATTTTCTTTCATCATCCCTCGTATGACCGGGTGGCCGAGTGGTTAAGGGGTTAGACTTTACCCAAAGCGTTGATGATTTAAAGTTGGGTTCTATGCCTTGTCAGAGAATAAAGAATTTTCTTATTTTTCTTTCCATAATTAATTTATTTTATAAGTTTAATCTTGTTTTAAAAATTATATTCTATTTTTACATTGAGGAATTAGGGCCTTTTGGCTCTCCAAAATTTATAAAATTCCTTGTTCGACAAAGAAAAATGGTTAATTTTTTCGCCCAAAGCCTTCTGAAATTTTAAAAAATTTCGCCTGCGGCGCTGAAAAAAGAAAGCTGGTAGCTTATTCTTCTAGATTTCTTTAAAATTTTCGCCAGCGACCCTAAAAAAGTAAGTTGTATGTTATATCGGAGGATTTGGAAAAAATCCCCATAAAACGTATACCCCTCCTTATTTCACTGATATGCCTAAAATCACCCTTACAATTCCGAACCTTTATATATCCCATTATCAAACACGTATATCCGGCTTTAATCCACATATATCACTTAATCGCTGACAAATTTTCGGTTCTGTTTCGGATAACCGAAAAATTTGGTGAAACCGAAAACCCTGCTTAAAATAAAAATTTTAAAAATTTTCTAGCAAAATTTTTAAAGTTCCGGTTCCGGTTCCGGTTCCGGGCCGGAACTTAGAAAAGTTCCGGTTCCGGTTCCGGGAACCGGAACTCAAATTGGTTCCGGTTCCGGTTCCGGTCAAAATTTCGGTTCCGGTGAAACCCTAATACCTACTAAAAAATTTTTCGCTCTACTGCAGTTTATGAGTCCAATCAAAATAAAATTGGATTTTTATTGGTGTTACAAAGTTTAAAGTGGGCCTCAAGTGTTTTTTGTTTTATCAATTCCAAACGGAATAATAGAAATAAAATCCCGTACGGGGTCCCGTCCCGTGCCGAGCTCTAATCATTAGAAGGAAAAAGAGGTTCAGAACGCCAAAATCTAATGGCGTATTTTCAATCTTCAAAACAATTCTCCATCCTACGGATGGGTTGAAACAATAATCCCCCAGTCTCTATTAATTCCCCAGTCTCTATTAATACCCCACCCTAGAGATGGGTTGAAACAATAATCCCCCTGGGGGATTAATAGAGCAAATACGGTAATCCTGGGTGGGCTTCAAGTGTTTTTTATTTTATCAATTCCAAACGGAATAATAGAGCTTAACTCTATAATCCTGGGTGGGCTTCAAGTGTTTTTTATTTTATCAATTCCAAACGGAATAATAGAGCTTAACTCTATAATCCTGGGTGGGCTTCAAGTGTTTTTTATTTTATCAATTCCAAACGGAATAATAGAGCTTAACACTATAATCCTGGGTGGGCATCAAGTGTTTTTTATTTTATCAATTCCAAACGGAATAATAGAGTTTAACTCTATAATCCTGGGTGGGCTTCAAGTGTTTTTTATTTTATCAATTCCAAACGGAATAATAGA